CCAAGGTCCTATGGAGTGAGTAATTCACGAGAGACATGCATAACTGTCCGGTTCCTTTTTACCTACTGGGTTTGAAGGCCCAGAGCTGCCATCCCTAGCTATGGGACCGGGTAAATCACTATCACCCAAGCCTCGGTCTCTCATCTACAGCAGTGTTTCCCAACCTTCTCTCATGATGAGAATCACCAGGTGCAGTTGTTAAAACACAGATTCCCAGATCCCAACTAAGAAGTGCTAAACTAGAATTTTTTGGAACATATAGGTAAAATTGTATACTTAACTAGTGCTCTAAGACAGATTTTATATACAGAGCACTAAGTTAGGTATGCAATTTTACCTATATGTTCTCAAAAATTCTAGTTTAGCACTTCTTATTTGGGATTCAGGAATCTGTGTTTTAACAACTCCACCAGGTGATTCCCATCATGAGAGAAGGTTGGGAAACACTGGTCTACAGCATAAGCCGATCATGCCTGCCACATGGGGATGATACTAGTCTCCTGTGGGGCTTTTGATGAGGATCCAACATGGGCAGGAGAAATTCTGCCTCGGCGCTCAGGGGAAGTGTCTTGAAGGCCTCCTAACATATCTTTACCTGCCTCCCACACCAACCCATCCTTCCCTAAACCTGGGCTTCCGGAGCCCCGATTTGGTCCACACTCTTCCCGCAGGCTCTGCGGGCGTGGGCGCCGCCCCCGGAAGCGCGGTAGCCCCGAGTGACCTCATCCTCATGGCCGCCGGGAGCAGCTGGCAGGAAGAGGAAAAGTGTGGCACCGGAGGATCAGTTCCGCTTCCGCTTCCGCTGGCGCAAGCGCTTTCATTTCTGCTGCTGCCGTGACTAAGATGGAAGCGCTTTGGGAGTCGCGGGCCGGCCTGTGGGCTGGGGGCCCGGCCCCCGGGCAGTTTTATCGCATCCCGCCCACTCCCGGCTCCTTGGAGGACCCGGCGGCGGCGCTCCACGGGGGTCCGATCACGCGCACCCAGTAAGCTCGGGGCGCCCCAGCTTCCGCCGCGGTGGGGGTGGGCCTGCTGCGCCCGTGGGCCGAGGGTTCGGAGGGAGCGGGGGGGTGGGGGGGAGGAGAGGGGCGGCGAGGGGCACGGAGTCCTGGGCAATGAATGGGGCTCCGAGAAGACGGAGGTGAACGGTCCACCGCGCAGGGAGAGGACTCGGGCGCCCCCCGCCCCCGCCCCGCCCTGTAGACCCTCTACCCCCTCTGTCCCCAGGAACCCCATGGTGACCGGGACCTCCGTCCTGGGCGTGAAATTTGACGGCGGAGTGGTGATCGCAGCGGACATGCTGGGTTCCTACGGCTCCTTGGCCCGTTTCCGCAACATCTCTCGCATCATGCGAGTCAATGACTGCACCATGCTGGGTGCCTCCGGAGACTATGCCGACTTCCAGTATGTGAAGCAAGTGCTGGGCCAGATGGTGTAAGTCCTCTTCGTTCCCAGACTTGGTTCCCAGGCGGGCAGGGGAATCGCTGGTGTGTGTGTGTGTGTTTTCTCCTTAAGAAGGTCTGAATGGACGCACTCCAGGCCGCTGCAGGGGACGGGGAGAATTGTAGGGGTGGAAGATGGGGGGATGGAGATCCCGCCTTTAATACTCTCACGCCGTTTCTGTTTCGAAGGATTGATGAGGAGTTGTTGGGAGACGGGCACAACTATAGCCCAAAAGCTATCCACTCGTGGCTGACCAGGGCCATGTACAGCCGCCGCTCCAAGATGAACCCCCTGTGGAACACCATGGTCATCGGAGGCTATTCCGACGGAGAGAGGTTGGTTTGAATACAGATCGCACACCCCTCCCCCCCCCAACCTGACCTGCCTTGTCACGTGTTGACATCTTTACCCCCTGAGTAATCCCAGTTCCCGGGCCCCATGGCCCCGGATTTCAGCAAGGATGCAGAAGCGTAAGATGACGTTAATTCTTTGACCTGTTGTGTCCCTTTAGCTTCCTCGGTTACGTGGACATGCTTGGCGTAGCCTATGAAGCCCCTTCCCTGGCCACGGGCTATGGTTCCTACTTGGCTCAGGTAAGGAGTGAGTTGAGAGGGGAAGGGGGTGCAGAGGGGAAGAGAGCAGGCAGTGGGGGCTGGTGGTTGTGTGCTTGCTTTTTTTTTTTTTACCTTATAACTCTGACATGAGGAACAGGCTAGGATCCCCGTTGCTGGGCGGATGGTTCTCTTTGTGGTCCAGAGGCTGTAAGTGTGGCATTTGCATTCCAATGACAAGGCATGTTCAGGGGTCAGTAGGCATGTGCAGAGAGAGGACACTCTAGGACCTCCCCTTCAGGTGGGTCTTAGCACAAGTAAACAGTATTCCGGTGAGGCAGTAGGCGGAATGTTACCTTTCCACTCGTTTGTGCATATTACCCCATGGATTTGAGACAAAGAGCCAGGTGGTCAGCCCCTGATTATCTCCCATGTTTTTTCCCTAATCTCCTCAGCCTCTGCTTCGAGAAGTTCTGGAGAAGCAGCCAGTGCTGAGCCAGGCCGAGGCCCGAGAGCTGGTGGAACGCTGCATGCGAGTGCTGTACTACCGGGATGCCCGCTCCTATAACCGGGTGAGGAGGGGCGTGGATGATGAAGGTGAAGGGGATCTTATTGGCAGGGTCTCAGTACTTGCAAATGTCAAGGGTTTCCGCGCTTTGAAGTCTCAGTTTGTCCCATTTCTGTCTCCTGTTTTCATATTTGGGAAAGACCCGAAAGACCCTCTTCTTGACCTTTGACCAGGTCCCAGAGATTTCTTTCATGTGGGGTTAGGCATTTTCACTAAGAGACCTGCTTTCTTTCAGTTTCAAATCGCCACGGTAACCGAGAAAGGTGTTGAAATAGAAGGACCACTTTCAGCAGAAACCAACTGGGAGATTGCCCACATGATCAGGTGATTGGAATTGAAAGTATAATGGGGAAAATGGGTGCTATTGTAGAAGAGTTGGGAGGCCCCGAGGCTTGCACTAAGCTGGGTTGTTTTAAGTCTCAACCCCAAATTCTCTGGGTGGCATGCATTTTGGTTCAACAGAACTGCTTTTATTTTTTTGTTTTTATTTATTTTTTTAAAATATATTTTATTGATTTTGTACAGAGAGGAAGGGAGAGAGATAGTTTAGAAACATCGATGAGAGAGAGTCATCGATCAGCTGCCTCTTGCACACCCCCTACTGAGGATGTGCCTGCAACCAAGGTACATGCCCTTGACCGGAATCGAACCCGGGACCTTTCAGTCTCCAAGCCGACGCTCTATCCATTGAGCCAAACCGGTTTCGGCCAGAACTGCTTTTAGTAATTGATTCCTTTCCCTATCACTTCGCAAGTTTATTAATGCTCTCTTCCTTTTCAGTGGCTTTGAGTGAAATACAGACGTGTTGTCTAGAACTGAGTTGTATTCTTCCGAATTTGAACTTGGCTGGTTCAGAGGTAGACTTCCCTTTTGTAAAATAAATCTTTTGAAACACTTGCTGAGTAGCTGTATTTTGTCTGACTAGGTCACACCAAGAACAAAACCACTAAGTACTGCCATATGCCATTTCCTCGATCTGAGAACCTTTGGCTCTTAGTTTTTTTTTTGTTTTTTTTTAATATATTTTATTTATTTTTTACAGGGAGGAAGAGACAGGGTTAGAAAGAAACATTGATGAGAGAGAATCCTCGATCAGTTGCCTCTTACACATCCCCCATTGGGGATGTGCCCACAACCAAGGTACATGCCCTTGACCGGAATCAAACCTGGGACCCTTCAGTCTGCAGGCTGACGCTCTATCCACGGAGCCAAACCGGTTTCGGCGGCTCTTAGTTCTTATAGCAGATAGAGTTCTCTGCATGACAATACAGAAGACCCACCTGCTGTCTTCAATTGTAGAAGCCAGGCTTATTTAATCCCTGTGGGATAACCTAATTGGCTTTTTTTTTTTTAATTGATTTTTCACAGAGAGGATGAGAGAGGGATAGAGAGTTAGAAACATCGCTGAGAGAGAATCATCAATCAGCTGCCTCTTGCACACCCCCTACTGGGGATGTGCCCGCAACCACAGTACATGCCCTTGACCGGAATTGAACCTGGGACCTTTCAGTCCGCAGGACGACGCTCTATCCACTGAGCCAAACCGGTCCCGGCCTTAATTGGCTTTTGTGTTTAATTTTTTTCTTCAACATTTCCACCCATGCACCAGGTTCTAAAATAGTTTCTGGTTAATGTTGGCTGCAAATGTAGTTTTAGTTAAAACACCTATTTTAAAGATAAAATGGAGCATCTAATGGAGTTGTTCTGTATAAGGCTACTCCCGAGCTGGAACTGATGGTCTCAACCCTCCCATTCCATTTAAGAAATCTAAGTAGCCCTGTCCAGTTTGACTCAGTGGATGGAGCATCGGCCTGGGGACTCAAGGGTCCCAGGTTCGATTCCGGTCAAGGGCATGTACCTTGGTTGTGGACACATCCCCAGTAGGGGGTGTGCAGGAGACAGCTGATCGATGTTTCTCTCTCATCAATGTTTCTAACTCTATCCCTCTCCCTTCCTCTCTGTAAAAAAAATAAATAATATTAAAAAGAAATACTAAGTAATTTCAACATTGAACTTAAATGCCTATTGTTCAAACCTACTACTAATTTCAAGCCCTGCCATAAAACTTACAACTTTTGTGTGTTTATTAAAAGGTCCTAAGTGTGGCTGTGAGTCCAATCAATTAGGGTAACAGCCAAATTCCATCCCCGGAATGGTGTTAAACTCTTATTTAAAAATGAACACCTCCCAAATAAAAAACAAAAATATAAAAATGAACACCTTAGGTAATTCTGAAGCATATCCTCTCTCAACCTCTTTTTGAGAAAGTAGTACAGACAGCAAACCCAAAAACGTATAGAAGTTCAGTGAGGTGAGAAAGGAGGGAAAAATCAAAGCATCGCTCTGTCCATGTCACCCATGATTACAACAAACCAGTATATTAAAGCAAAAGAAAACCAGGAGCTTTCAATTTGAATATTCTATAGTCTCAACACAGAAAGTAGGCAATAAATACTTTATTGATTAAACTGAAATATATAAAAAAAACAAAAACAAAAAACCCCAACCTTGTACTAAGCCATGTGGGCAGAATCCACAATAACTTTCTGGCCAAAACTCAGCTGACCCACTGTTGGTAAAACGGTCTTAAAAAGACTGCCCCTCAGGAAAGTCACTCCGTGTGCAAAGTCTGGGCTGCTGTGGAGACTACCAAAGAGAAGGATTAGGTCGTTGTAGGTGGAGCTGACCATAGTTCTTGATCTTTCTGAAAGGCAAAGGATTGACTCAAAATTCCGTAATTCTGTCAAAATGGTACCAGGCAAAGAGCTGGGGAAGAGAAGCCCGGATGGATCTTCGGTTCAGTGTCTAGATGCCATGGGTTCACAAAGCTGGCCACGGTGTTTACGGGAGGGATCCCTCCAGATCACTATCTTAGAGCCGTTTGGGGTTAAAAAACGAAAAAGGACAAACAGGGGTAACAAGTGTCACACCTGTACCATCAGGCCCACATGCCAGTCTGTGAAAACCATTAGAATAGGGGCACCCAGGAAAAAAAGCATTGTTTATAAACTCATTTCCCTTCATTAAATGTCTCACGTACATTTTAAAGATGAACCAGTCACAGGCCTGTGCAGGTCAGGAAGGAAGCGTTGCTGAGACTCGGGGTGGACAGAAGGGTGTAGCTGTGGGAAAGAAAGGTGGGCCTGGATTTTTGCTCCTTTTCTCTGTTACAGTACATTTCAGTTTATAACCATGAGTACATACAACTTTTTAAAAAAAATCCCTCATGCAAACTGCAGAAAAATGTTTTCTTTCCTTGATGCTGGCAGTGAAAAATAAAGATTCGTGTCTTTTTCTCTGTGCACACCCCCATGTATTTCTTCTTCAGGTCAGATTCTTCACTAAGCATTAAGAGAAATAGGAGAAAGCAGGATTTCAGCAAGTGGTCTGTCTTTTTAAAGTTCAACGCTTAATTTCTTGCACCATTAGCTCCTGGCTGTAGGAATGTGGTCACTTGGTCAGGCACTGTCCACTTAAGATGAAGTTCAAAGCAGGGACTGCCCCCGGAGGGTGTGCAGGACGAAGACCCCACACCGGGAATGGCTTCCGCCCTAATACTCTGATTGCCTCCGTACCTCTCGCTTGCTAATGACATGTATGATCCTTTGTCCAAAGTGATGGTGTGAGAATGGGAAAAGGGGGCCAGATATCCCAAGTGTTTCAAAGAATATTGGTTTTGTCGTGTTTTTTGTTGGGAGGGTGGTGAGGAAAAAGATCTATTCATCATTCTGGTTGATTAAAGGTGGTTTCATGCATTTTTAAAGCCACAATTTTATATCGAGTTGCTGTAGAAACCAACTTCTCTGGAGAGGGAAGGTAAGAAAGGAGGAGAGTTCAGTGGGATTTTTTTTTCCATTTTCATTTTTATATAAAAGTGTTAAGACCACAATGAAAAAAGTTTCTCCATTATATATAATAAACCAGTTCGTGAGCTACAATTTTTCTTTCCCATCTTCAGAAATGTTCTCAAATTGACAATGGTTGGATAGCATCATGCCCAGACACTGGCCACACAGTAAAACAAACCAGATGTACTATAATACAATTGAGGTAAAAGGGGAAACAAAAAAAGGTAACATTCGTCCACAAAGGATTTTTTTTCTTTTCTTGTTTTGTCAGAAAAATACCAAACACAGTGATTTAATTTTTTTTTTTAAAAATCCACAAAAACCTGTTATCATAAATGAATGACCAATGGGGCCAGCTCCTCGGCTCAGATGTGATTACTATTGGTTTTCCTAACAATCCACAAATCCACAGGGAAGTATCAGTCAACATCAGGGGCAGTGGTGGCATCAAATTAAAAAATATAAACCGAATACCCCGCCTGGTATACCCCCTTTCCCCTACACCCCTCTGCCCTCCCTCACGCTGTCCCACCCCCACTTCATCCGCCCTCCAGACCCCGACACTCAAATCTCCATCAGGTCGAGGTCAGCTTCTTCAAAGCCATAGAAGGACTCGGTCTCGCTCTCCCCCTCGAAGAGCTGGTGGAGGCTCTCGGAGTCGGCTGTCTCTTCGGGGGAGGACCTGGGCCGGGGGGTGGAAGCCGGGTGCTCCTCGGACTGCTCCCCGCTCAGCTTCAGCTGCTCCTCCAGGGAGGCGATGAGCTCCTCCTGCATGTCAGCGTTTCTGGTGGGCGAGTTAATGTTGCCGTCGGGGCCCGGCAGGACGCTGGCCACGAGGAAGGACCGCTGAACCAGCTCCGGGCAGTCCCCGATGACGGCCAGCACCTCGGCCAGCCAGACCACCACCAGGTGCAGCAGGACGTCGGAATCGCACGCGGCGTCTGCCATCTCCCGGGCCTGCTCCTTCCACTTTTTGTGCAGGAAGTTCTTGACTGTCCGCTTGATGCACACGTCTAAGGGCTGGATCTTGGAGCTGCAGCCTGCCGGGACCACGGCGGGCAGCGTGCTGGAGGCGCTCAGCAGCGCCAGCACCTCCTCGGACAGGTGGGTGCGGTGGCAGTCCATCACCAGCATGCCTTTGCCGCGCTGGCAGGCGGCGTGCTTCTGCCACACCCGGGCGGACCACAGCTCCATGATCTCGTCGTCGCTGTAGCCGCCCTCCTTGGCCTCCAGCAGTATGGAGTCCGGCACGTCAGCGGGCTGGTCCACGTGTCCGCGGTAGAAAACCAGGGTGGGGAGGACGGTGCCGTCCGCCAGGATGGCCAGCACCACGTCGCACCAAGGTTCCCCGGTGCCCACCGTCTGCAGGGCGTTCTCCTTCCGGTCGTCGCTGCTCAGCACCTCTGTATCCAGGAACAGGGAGATCTCGTCGACGGCCACGATCATCGACAGGGGCAGGTCCTGGTTGTGGATCTGCCGCTGCACGAATTCGATGAAGAGGCCCGCGTTCTCGGCCACGTCCTTGGGCAGCGTGTGGGCCACGGCGCGCCGGGCGTGGGGAGTCAAGTGGTGCCGCAGCATGAAGCGCACGGCCCACTCGTAGGAGATCTTGAACCCCCCCTCCAGCGAGCGCCCGATCTTCGTGGCCTTCTGGAACAAGGTCTCCTCGTTGACCGGGAGCTGCTGCTCGCGCTGGGTGAGCACCCACTCGGCCAGCTTCTCCTCCGCCTCGAAGCTCAGGTACTTGCCCTCCAGGGTGTCCCACTGGGAGGCCTGGAAGCGCCGGAGCCAGCGGCGGATGCGGCGCTGCGGGTTCCGGAAGTGCTCCGCCGCCTGCTCCGTGTCACAGCACAGGGCGAACAGCACCACGCGCAGCTTCTTCACGGACAGCTGCTCCTTCTTGCCGACCCCACCGCTGCTCCCGCCCCCGGAGGCGGGCTCAGGCTCCTGGGCGACGGGGCTTCCTTCGTCCTGGTCATCCACATCCAGACACTCGGCCTCCTCCGCGGCCAAGGGCGGGAGGGCCAGCGGCGGGGGCAGCGTGGGGGTGGGCGGCGGGGTGGCGGTGGAAGCTGGTGACGGGAGGGCCTGGGCCGTGGGCGCCGGGAGCTCTTCAGGCTCGGCGGGGGCGGGCTCGGCAGGTTTCACAGTGGAAGCTTTATTGGACGGGAAGGAAGGAGGAGGGTACATATTCTTCAAGTTCCGGTCATTCAGCCGGTCCCGAGTCTGGCCATGCCTACAGGGTTCGCAGAGAGAGGAAGGAGAACCTCAGTAAAACCAGGAATACAAAGTAACGGCAGGAATCGTAATAAAAACCAAACACACTGCAAAACAGAAATTAAGTCATAAAGTGAGTTTCTTTTACCTTGAGTGAGACATCCAAGACAGGGCTATGGAAAAGGAGACAATGGAAAAAAGTTAACTCAGTGAAGAAAAAAGCCTTCTAAAGACAATGTCTTGGGATTTCAATCAAAAAGGCAAATCTACTGCCTACTCAAGTCTTATAGAAACTTAGTGGAGTAGGCCAAAACAGTGGATGGGTTAGGGATGCTCCCGATTCATGTAACATCACTTGTATCCCTTTTTTTTTCTTTCTTGTCCTGCTAATCCCATGTCTCCTACTTACCTCGTGGCAGAATGCTGCTGGATCTGTGAGAGGGATTGAATACCAAATGCTTGGCCATGGCATCTCCCACGAAGGTAACGAAGGTACAGGAAGTGCAGTACAGCTTGATTCCGCTGAGAAAGAGAGAGCCAGGAGCACAGAAGTCAAGTTCAGCAGTGAACAAGAGAGTTAAGCCTTGAGGCTTAATAAAGGAGTGTCCTTTCTTCTCTCTCTCAAATTAATTCACATACCCACCCATCCCAAAACAGTTTGAAGGATCTAATGTAACGTCTAAATTCAGAGATCATCAGCAAGTTTTTCCTTACCTCACAGAGTTTTTAAATAAAGCCAAGTACTTGGAGCTCTTCCGTGGAACATGATTGCTGAGAAAGACAGAAAGTGGTATGAGTTACAGGGTTCTGTTGGTGAAACAGATCACCAGCCGCTGACAAGGACCCAACAAAGAAGATGCCTCTTGCCCTGGCCAGTAAATTAGTCAATTGGAGCATCATCCCGGTTGGGGTGCAACTGATATTTCTCTCACATCAATGTTTCTCCCTTTCTCAAAAAAAACCCCAAAAAACCACCACCACCAAAAAAAACAAAAAAAAACAACACACACAAAACACACACACACACACACACACACACACACACACACACACCTTCAATCCATCCTAAACTCAAATAGTGCCAGTTTTCCTATTGGGGGGCGAAGGGGAGGAAGGGAGGGAGGGTAGGAGGTTAGGATTAGGGTCTACGAAAATGCACATAGTGCCGAAACCGGTTTGGCTCAGTGGATAGAGCTTCAGCCTGCAGACTGAAAGGTCCCAGGTTCAATTCTGGTCAAGAGCATGTACCTTGGTTACGGGTACATCCCCAGCAGGGGGTGTGCAAGAGGCAGCTAATCGATGATTCTCTCTCATGGATGTTTCTAACTCTGTATTCCTCTCTTTCTTCCTCTCTGTAAAAAAATCAATAAAATATATATTTAAAAAAAGAAAAAGAAAAAGAAAAAGAAAATGCACATAGAGATTGCGAGGGCCTGGGGCTGGACCCAGAGCTGCAATTCTAACCAGCTTCCACATGGTGCTGTTGGTCCTTGAACCACAATTTGAGTGGAAGGTTCCACAAAGTCAGAGCACAGCCCACTGAAGTTAAAAGAACACGGGCTGGCCTCTCACTCTGCTCCGAGAGACGGACCAACAGCTCTAAGAACTGAAGGAATAAACAAACTATGAACAGGGGAGGGGAGAGAGAGTTCTGCGAATCTCAACTCCCAGACAGGAACCCCGGTTTAACTGTGACTTACTTGATCATGTGATTGGCATAAGCTCGAGAACAGCAGGTGCTGTAGCGACACAGAGAGCAGTGGACATACGTAGGAAAATGGTTCGGGAAATCTGGGATCTCGAAGCTGCACTCCAGACACGTCTGCCGGCCCATGACACTCCTGTCGAGACACAAGGAAGATGATCACAAACTGCCTCGGGCACCCACACTGTAAAGACTCAGAGGACAGACCCTACTGAGGGCTGCCGGCCACACGGGGTGAGGGTAGCCGTGCCCCCCGCCCGGGCCTCTGGAGAAGGGCACTGACATTTTCCTAACGGCTCTCTTCTGGATGTTGCGCTGGACTGGGGGGTAAAGGAAGACTGGCAGAGGGTCCGATGACGAGGTCAGGGGTCCTGCCTCCTGCAAGGTGCTGGGCGGAGCTTCACCGGAGACAGGGAGACTTCGCGGCTGCCCTCGGGAAGCCCGGATTGTCACCTGGGGGTCAAGGGGAGGAACACTCAGACATCAGACACTGAAACTCTGTTCTTCTCCTGAGTCTGCAAAGGAAATGCTGACAACCCCGTTACCTTGGTGCCTGGTTTCAAGCCTTCCAGCTGCTTGGGTTTCCGGAAGGTCTTATGGTGCTGAAGCTTGTGTTCAATCTTGTCCTTGGCGAAGAGGAACTGCAGCCGGCATTTGTTGCAGTGATACACGTTCCTCTTCTGAGGGGGGAAAAAAGAAACTCTTTTACCACCTCCCAGCGAATTTCCTTCCCTGAGGAGAGGGTAGATCAATGCCAACCAGACTACTCTGCTCATCTTTCTGCTGATGCACAACAGGCACAGCCTACCACTGAGCATCATCGCCTCCCGTTGTTCCAAAGAAGGGTGGACTCCAAACCAGGGCGCCTGAGTGCTCAAACATCTCTTCCCAACTCGCTTTAATAACCTGGATGAGTGGCTCAGCTCTACTTGTCCACACTTTATATATATTTACAATGTGGACAGTGCTACCTACTTCTGGGCATTGTTATTTCTTTATTTTTATTTATTTCAGAGAGGAAGGAAGATGGAGAGAGAAACATCAACGAAGAGAGAGAATCATTGATCAGCTGCCTCCTGCTCAACCCCTGGGCTTGAGCCCGCAACCCAGGCATGTGCCCTGGCCGGGAATCCAACCGGGGACAGATTGGGGTTCATGGGTAAATGCTCAACCACTGAGCAACATTGGCTGAGCTCTTCAAAAAAGAAAAAAGAAAATGTACATGGTAAAAAAAAAAACACAAAAAACTTTTTTTTACTCTGTAAGATTGTTTTCAACTCTGATCCTTAGTCCCTGTCCACAAAAACAACTTACCAGCTTCTTGGGTTTCTTTCACGGACACCCATGCTACAAACACATACCTCTTCAACCACCACCTCCCTGTTTTTCCTTTCTTTGGTAACAAAAACAATAGTACTGTCCTAGACCTTGCTCTTTTTCCTCTTAACACATCACTCTGTACACATATGCCTCCCGGTAAGTCAGACCAGGGTGAGGGTTCAGAGTGCTATGTACTGACATCCTCTGACGACAGGACCCAAGCCTATGATTTTCTCCCCGAGGACAGGAGGCTGGGTAACGTCAGCTGAGTTACCAGTGGCAATCTCCACGCTGCTGTTTGAAAACACATTTGTGGTGGACTCTCAGCAGTCACTGCTGTGCAAATGAATGTCTGGGTCTAACAGGTTATTTACAAGTGAGGGTGTTTGTACACACCCTCATGTTTGTACACACGTGTCAACATTCAGCACAGCAGTCCAAGACTGAAAAACCTCTCTGATAGCTTCCCAATGACTTATTTTCATGCTGAAATTCCTTTTCATGGCTTACCAGGTTCTCCATAATCTATCTGTTCCCTACAGCCAACCTTCCTGTCCCTTCACTTTACACTGAATTTCTTTCGATCCCCTGACCCTCCAGCCTCTGGCTCTGTGCCTCTGAACACACACTCTGTTTAATTCCACTTCACCTGCTCATCCTTCCTCAACCTGCAGGTCTACAAACATGGTAATGATATGCAAAAATATTCACACCCTTCTCCTGGAAGCTTACCAGACTTTCAGAATAGGTACATGCTTTTCTGTGTTCTGTATCTCCTCTAACACGACATTGTTCATGCTTTACTGTACTGTTTAATTATCTTGTTTGGCAGTAAACTGCCAACCCCAGTGCGATGTTTATATAATAAATGAAATTCGCTAAACTTACACACACACATACATTCTTTTCTATAAAAATAATTTGCCTAGCTCAGCTCGGGCCCTAGCAACCATACATTTAAAAAATAAGAACATGGAAGCTGCTTGGTGCCAGGTACCTGGTGCCTCATGTAGTGCTGCTGGAATGCGTTGCCATTTTTGAAGACCTTCAGGCAGTACGGGCACAGCAGATGCCGAGTATCCTCGTGGATCATCCGGAAATGGACGTCTACCTCGGAGTAGAGTGAGGAGCGGTACTGACACACCTGAGTCACACAAGAGGGAAAGTCAGCTGAGGATGAAGCAAACGACTGGGGTCTCAAAAAAGAGGTGGCAACAAAGACGTTAAAATACGAAAATAAAATTCCTTAAATGTGTTGGTCAAATCGTATTTCTGACTTTGTGATCAATTCAGCCGTGAATTAAGATAAAAATGAGGATGGACAGGAAAGTCTGAGAACTATCTGTGTTCTTTGACTAAGAGGAGCAAGGCTTTCTCTGACAGTCTCCAAAGGGCAAGGTCAGTACCAGACACTCGCTTAGTACATGTGTATGTGCCTTTATGCTTTTCTCCCGCATGAAGAATCCCGAAAACAGGACCTGGGTTTACTATTTCTTCTGCATCTCGTAGTGTTCCTACAACTGAGTGTGTGTGGTGTTCAGCACTGGTCATGAGTGGGTTCTTTGTATTTAGCCTGAGAGCAAAATGGCTAGAACTCTCTAGGGACAAAGATAATACCTGGCAAACATAAGGCATCTCTCCAGGCTTATGAGTATCCTTCATATGCTGCAGAAATAGTGGCTCACTCTCAAATGCCCACTCACAGATCTTGCACTTGGCTGTAAGAAGAAAAAAATCAATAAATTCACCTGAAAATAAGACCATGACTTATTCATAAGACCATGATTTATTATAAGATCATGACTTATTCTATTTTCTGAGTTCTGTATCTTCCTTTTTCCATAGTTAGAAAATAGTTTCTCTTTCTTTAAAATGGTTCTACCTTAATATATGTGTGGCTGATAAAACTAACCCTATCTCTAGCTCAGACTTCTTACCAAAGCTCCATTCTAGATTTTGAATTATCTGTAAGACCTTTCTAATTGGATATTCTAACATCAACTCTAACTTACAGCAGCATCCCATTGTTGCCCTTCTCACTATCCCACCTCTTCCTCAGCTCAAAATTCACGCCCTGGCTGTTTGGCTCAGTGGACAGAGTATCGGCTTGTGGACTGAGGATCCCAGGTTGGATTCCGGTCAGGGGCACATGCCTGGGTTGCAGGCTCAATCCCCAGTAGGGGGCGTGCAGGAGGCAGCCAATCAACGATTCTCTCTCATCATTGATGTTTCTGTCCCTCTCCCTGTCACTTCCTGTCTGAAATCAATAAAAATGTATTTATTGATTTAAAAATTTAGACACCATCTGACTCTGTACTCCTGTTTTCACCATTATTTCAAAATGCATCTAGGAATTGTCACTTCTCCAATCTCATAGGCAAAAACTTGGTAGAAGCCCATATGATTTCCTATACTTATCAGCTAAATTCCAATTTCACCAACAAATACAAGATCTATTTTTGCATATCATTATCAAATCAATTCTTTCAAAATACATTACTTAATTATTTTGCACAAGGTTAGACAATGATTATCTCCAATGAATAATTCAACAAACATTTGTTGAACATCTTAAATCAGTAAAAATAAGAATTTGTCTTTCATGAACAGAAGTTCTTAACTTGCTATGTTATAGTAATAACAAATTTAAGATAACTTTGCAATTGCCCATTTTGTCAGGTTTATAAGGCTGCAATTCCACACCAGCTGGGGCTATTTTACTTCTTTCTTTCGTTTTTTTTTTGTTGTTTTTTTTAACTTAAATATACTAGGTATACAATATTAGTTTCAGGTGTATCATATAGTTATTCAACATTTATATGCCTTACAATGTGATCATCACACTAGATCTAGCAATCATCTGTCATCATGCAAACTTATAAAAATATTAAAAATCTATTCTTTAACAGGAAAAAAGTTACTAAACATCTCATTAATTTTAAAATTGTGATTACATGCTTAACTATTTTGGATATGAGTTAAATAAAATACACTATTAAAATTAATTTTAGGTTTTTAAACTATTTAAAATGACTATTTAAAAAACTTAATTATATGTGTTGTTCACATTATATTTCTTTGACCAGTACTAGTCTAAGCCACGCATGGCAATCCCATTGTCCTTGCAAATATAACCAAGGCCAAAGAGATATAAGGGAAAGCAATTCTGCCTTGTAAGACACAGATTCAGGGAAGACACAGGAAGATATGGATTCTTCTTCATCTGTACAATTTTGTGTCTGAATGAAACACCTGAGACTAACACAGCCAGAGATAAGAGAAATGTTAAGAAGCAGAACACTCAAGTTCTGGGCTTGCAGTTCTTTCAGTTAAAATGACAGAAAGGATGTCCTTATTGTTCAATTATTTAAGTCAAGGTTTTTAATTTGTGGCAAAAGCATCCATTCATGCGTATTTCTGGTCTTTATGCCTTTGCTTGCTTTTCCCATCATGTAAAAGTTTTCCTTACTAATTATCATCAATTTAAATCCTCCTTGTATTTAAAGATCCCAAAATCTTAAGATGACTTTCTGTGATCTGGCCATAAGGATCTATCTGTTCCCTTTTCTGATCTATTTAACTTACTCTTGATGAAACATATAATACATATTTATAATAAATATACTATGTTGTGCCCACATTTCCCTATATTTACATGATTTTTATATCTTCAACACATCTAGAAATCCCTTAAGGATACAGGAAATGTTCTAGAAGACTGGGATCAAATTCTCACAATGTCACCTTACTGAGGTGTATGGTCTTCAGTAAATATCTACATTTTTTGAAAGCACTGTCTCAATTGTAAAGTGCTTTATAATAAACATTATCTTTTATCTTCCATAAAATCTATTAGGGGACAAACTAAAATGAAGGGATGCTCCTTCTATAAAATAAACCCACTCCATGTATCTCTCTCCAGTGGTCCTAAGCCAAAGTCCCTAATTGAGGATCTAGCATTGAACTCAATTCATGCTCAACAGAATATAACTCAGGCTTGAAAGAAAACAGGGCAAATGAAGAAATGAAATGACTACAAATATGCTGTCACCCACACATAAATAAATATAACCAGCTCCCCCTAGTGCCATCTATAATACTAAAAGCATAATATGCTAATTAGACCAGACGGCTGAACAGAACGACAATCCGCACAACCTTCAGATGAAACCGGGGCTGTGAGGGCCGAGCCCCTTGCATGAATTTCGTGCATCGAGCCTCTAGTACAATGATAAAGAGCTAAGTATATCCTTAGGATTTAAGTGTTTCCAAACTTACTAGTTGATTCATAAGGACTATGAACATTTTCCAAGTGGCACTGAAGCTGGAAGGGAGTGGAAAACTGGCGGTAACAGTGTTGGCAGATAGTATGACCATCCACTTCACCATTCTGCTGATCAAGTTCTACATGGTGTTTCATATGATTCATGAATCTGCAGCACAGCGCAAAGGGAAAGTACAGAAAACATTTGAAACCAGTAGCCTTGGAGACATGTAACAGCAGAATCACAGCACAGATATTACCTGCTCCTCCTCCCTCCACTTCCTCTGTTAACCCAGAAAAGGGTTCTTGAAATTAAGACTTCTGTTGAAGGAGACACACTGGTCTCCCTTATCTTTTAATTGGCCTCCCAGTTATCTTTATTTATTACCACAATATGCCCTTCTATAGTATTAGCTCTTGATTTAATGCTAATCCTTAGCCAAGACCGGATAATAGGACAATTCTCCAAAAGAGAAAGACTTAAACGTGTAAGAAAATTTCAGTCTTGTCTTGTCCAAGGTAACATCCAAGGCTCTTTAACACCTACCGAATGTTGTTTTTTAGCCTTTTGGTACAATGTGGGCATCGGAAAGATGTAGCGACTTTAGGGAAATTTGTGAGTTGGGCTACTTTGCCACCGTCCCGTCCGTAGTAGAAGTCATCTACGAGCATAATGAGCTTGGTCTGGACAGCATCACCCACGCTCTCATTTGGCTCCGGTCCTTTGGTAGGTGGTGACAGAGCAGGAATTGGTGTTGAAGAGGGTGTGGAAGCAACGGGAACTGTTTTCTCAGGGGATGAGGGCTTTGCTGCGGACGGGGCACTGGGTTCTGAATCCAGAGACTTCCCTTTCTTGTGGAATTCAACCATTTCTGGGCAGCAGTACTATAAAGAAAGAAGACATCTGATCATTCTGGTTATCCAGGGAACAGGGTGTGCTAACTCCCCAACTTCACTAGCAGTCATTGGTAAGCTGGGTTCTAGGTGGTCTCATCCAGCTTTCACCCTCAAGATTTCTATAGCATTTCCCAGTGTCACTCTTTTTCTATTGTACTGGAGGCCCAGTGCACGGATTTGTGCACCGGTGGGGTACCTTGGTGTGGCCTGTGCGGGGGTCGGGCCAAAACCGACAGTCCAACAGTGCCTGCAGCTCCTGCCTGCTGCTCCCGCTCATCTCAGCCCTGCTGTGCCTGCCAGGGGCTCGCACCCAGTCAGTTCCCACAGCGGCGCTTGCCAGCGATGAGCCCTGCCTCTGGCACCCGTCAGTCAGCTGAGCGGTGCCCCCCCCCCCCCCCCCTGTGGGAGCACACTGACTACCAGGAGGCAGCTCCTTTGTTGAGAGTCCGCCCCTGATGGTCAGTGCATGTCACAGTGACCAGTCAACCGGTTGTCCGGTCGCTTAAGACTTTTACAGACAGATATGTATCAATATTTACAGCCACATCCCGCTCCAAACACCTTATCTTGTACTCTTCTTGCTTTCATTTCTTTAAGCACTCACTAACATAACTTGGTCCTAAGCTCTCTGGCAGGAAGATGTGCCGACCTTTCCATCAGGACTAATACAAAAACCCCGGAAAGGTTAGAAATGGGAACTGATTTAACATCTCCTGCTTCATCAATGACACATAAGCAGAAAATGAACCGAGGCCAAGATGGTTTGAGGTCTGGTTATCTAACAAACCTGACCTGTGCAATTTCAAAATCTAACACAACTAAGGAATTAAGGTTGCATATGTTCGGATTTATTTGAGGGACAATAAATGTATCCTATGACATCCCATAGCATATAACTCTTCTAGAACAGTCCAAAAGACAAAGCAGCACTTTAAAAAGCTTCCAAGTCATTTTAAAATCCCTACTTCCCAAGCTCCCATTGTGACAGGAGGCGTATAGTGATGATATCACTTACACACATGTGACCTCTCAAAGCTTCAGTTACACGGAATTGAGCATTACACCGTGGACACATTTTGCGGCCACCATCTTGGAGATCAAACGCAGAGATGGAAGAGGTCACTGGAAGAAGAGAGAAGCATTGAAAAGCTTAATAAGATGATACTGAATATTACTGGCCTTTTGGGAAAAGGTTACATCCCCTGAGATGTATAGTAAGGTTGGTAGGCAAGCATGAAAGATCACCATGAGGGTCATTTCTTGTACCATTCTTCTAACTCTATGCCTGGGCTCATAGATCAAATCCAGCCAGCTTTAAGTTTCTATTTGGTCCATGAGCTAAGGATGATTTGTTTTTTTTCTTGATTATGGTAAAAGACACATAACATACAATTTATTTCTTAAGCAATCGTAAGTGTACAGTTGTGTTAAGTACATTCCCAATGTTGTGCAAGCAATCTCCAGAAGTCTTTTCATCTTGCAAAAATAAATCTGTATACCCACCAACTCCCCATTTCCCACTCTGTCTAGTCCCTGGCAACCACCATGAACCTGACTATTCTAAGTAAGCCACGTAAGTGGAAACATGCAGTACTTGTCCTTTTGTGACTGGCTCATTTAACATCATGGCCTCAAGGTTCATGAATGTTGTAGCATTTGTCAGAATTTCTTCCTTTTTAAGGCTGACCAACATACCATTTTACATATATACCATATTTTGTTTGTTTATTCATAGGTTGAAAGACATCTGAGTTGCTCCCACCTCTTGGCTATTATAAATAATATATCTATATAAAAGGTTAATGTCTGTCCTACTGGTACACCTGATGTGCACTGGCGCATGTGTGATACATATAAACCTCTTGCTAGTGCCAATCGCATGCACATTTCAATGTCATTGTTGATCGCGAACTTGGTTGTTTTTATTGACTTTCAACATAAACCACATCGTGATTTAGTCATCAACCGTCACACTGACTGGCTGGTACATACGACACACACTGGTAATTTTACGGGATCAGGCCGAAACTGGCTCTCTGACATCCCCAGGGGGGTCCAAGATTGCAAGAGGCTACAGGCCAGGCCGAGGGACCCCACTGGTGCATAATCGGGTCTGGGGAGGGACACAGGATGTTGGCCAGCCAAGAGAGACCACAGAGGACTCCAGGGTGTGTCTAGCCCGTCTCACTCAGTCCTGATCAGCCAGACCCCAGCAGCAAGCTAACTTAGCTGTCGGAGTGTATGCCCCCTGGTGGTAAGGGCACATCACAACAAGTGGTTGAGCAGCCTTAGCATATTATTAGCATATTATGCTTTGATTGGTTGAACAGGCAACTAGACTACTGAACAGTTAGCATATTAGGCTTTTATTATATACTAGTGGCCCAGTGCATGAATTCGTGCACACTGAAAGAAAACTAATTAGAATAAATAACTTTTTCCAGCCCAGTGAAGCACCCCAACTTCTCTTTCAGGTAATTGTCAGCAACACAGCAGTAAATATCAACATGAAGCAGATTATAGGTCATGCAGGGAGAACAAAGGGTAAAATATTTAGCTACAGTGTTTTGACTATATTCTGTGCAGTGAGAAAACCTGAAGTTATTTTCAAAGCCAACCATTTCTTACTCCTTTTCAATCGGGTCAGGTTTCTAAACTTTCTAAATCTCTGTTTTCTGGCTAATGAAAAGAAAATAGGATTCCACTGAGTCGCCTATCTACCTACTCCAGGACTTCCATGAGAATCAAATGAGATGAGGCATGGGAAAACGCTTCACAGATATTTGGTTAAAGTGTGAAACGTTTCCACCTTGGTGTTCCTGGGCTGACGAAACTGCAAGGAGGCTAGTCGCTAGGGAGAGAAGCCAAGTGTTGGTCATTACCCGGTGCCCACAGCCACTGTTTCGGGCTGAGCTGGGCTGTGGGCCGCATTTTGCACCATGGCAGTGTTGGCTGCAACTTGGTGGGCTGTCACTCCAGGGTGGTGGTGGGGACTGTGTCCCACATGGGGGTAGCTGAGTGCTGCTGTGTCGGCACCAAGTCCGCACTGCTGTTTCTGTGTAAATAGCCAGTGCATGTCATGGCAACTGGTTGGACGGGCAGAGGGACACTTAGCATACTATATATATCTATATCTATATCTATAATTTTTTTTAATTATTTTTTTTAAACTAGAGGCCTACTTTGTGCACCAGCGGGGTCCCTTGGCCTGGCCTGTGGGATTGGGCCCAAACTGGCTCCTGGACATCCTCTGAGGGGTCCTGGATTGCAAGAAGGTGCAGGCTAGGCCAAGGTACCCCACCACTGCTCCACGGGGGCCGGGAGGGACATGGGAGGTTGGCTCCAGGGCATGTCTGCCTCTTCTTGGTCAGTCCTGATTGGCTGAACTCCAGCAGCAAGCTAACCTACCAGTCAGAGTGTCATAGCAACTGGTAGACTGTCTGCCCCAAGGGGTGGCCAGTACAAGTCATAGCAAGCAGTTTAGTGGCCCTAGTGTATCATTAGCATATTACACTTTGATTGGTAGAATGGACGGCCAGACACTTAGCATATTAGGCTTTTATTATAATATACAGGATAGATACTATTTTGACATGTAATTTTTTGCAGTAATATTGTTACTGCATGAATCTTTCTTCTAATTAATTTCCTTTCAATATGCGCAGATCTGCCCTGGGCCACTAGTGCTGCTATAAAGATGTAGAAATGTTAGTCTGGATCCATGCTTTCAATTCTTTAGATATATTTCCCCATAAGGTAATTTTTTAGTTTTTTACTGATTTTAGCGGGAAAGAGGCAGGAAGAGAGAGAAACATTGGTTTATTATTCTACTTACTTACGCACTCATTGGCTGATTCTTGTATGTGCCCTGGCCAGGGATGGAACCTGAAATCCTGGCATATCAGGAAGACGCTCTAACCGACTTAGCTACCTGGCCAGGGCTCATATGGTAATTTTATGTTTCTTCCGTTTTTGTAAATATCAATATCAATAGTAAAAATCATGCTATTTTACATTCCCACCAGCACTGCACAATGGTTCTAATTTTTCCACATCTTCACAAGTACTTATTTTGATTTTTGGATAACAGCCATCCTAATGGCTGTACAGTAGTATTTTACTGTGGTTTTGATTTATATTTCCCTAATTATTAATGATGTTTACTATTGCTTCATGGGCTTAGTGGCCATTTGTATAGTATATCTTCTTTGGAGAAAGGTCTATCCAACACCTTTGCCCATTTTTTAATTAGACTGTTTCTTTTGTTGTGGTGTTGTTGAAGTTCTTTATATATTCTGAATATTAATCCCTTATTGGATATTTGTAAATATTTTCTCCTATTCAGTGGCTTGGAAGAGTCCTTTGTTGCCCTGAATATTTTGATTTTGATGTTGTTTTACTTATTTTTTCTTTTGTTGCCTATATTTTTGGTATCATATACACGAAATCAATGCTAAATTAAATGTCATGAAGCTTTCCTCTATGTTTTCTTCTTAGAGTTTTATTCTTTTAGCTCTATGTTTAGGTCTTTGAATCACTGAGTTAATTTTTATATATAAGGGTCCAACTTCATTTTTTTGCATGTGGATATTTGTTTCTTTCCAACACTATTTGTTACAGCTTTTTACATTTTTAAATGGTTGAAATAAAGGCAAAAAGAAAGAATAAGATCTTTGGACACATTAAATTTAAAAATTCAGTGTCCATGGATAATTCTGATGGAGCAGAGTCATGTCTGTCTGTGGCTGCTTTTGCACCACAGTGGTAGAGTTGAGTAGTTGTGACGTAGGTTTAATGCTCAATGTCATTTACAGAAAAAGTTAATTTAGACTATTAAAAACTCTCATATTCATACCCTTCTACACTTGCAAACCTCTCTACCAAATCCTGACTTTAAAACCTTGTTCACAAATCCATCTCATCTAGGAAGCCATCTTTTGATTGTCCCACCCAGATCTGATCAATCAATCCATTTCACTAACCCACAAAGCACAATTATAGAATTGCTTGAAGCTGATTTAGTTACACTTCTCACAAGTGGTTATCCCATTTACCACGCTAAAGCTTCTGTGAGAAGGGATTGTAGTAACTTTATCCTATTTTACTTCTCTATTTCATAGTATAGAGTTCTGATACAACATCAATGTTTTGAATAATTGGCTGCTCAGAGTCTTTCAGGTTATTGTACCTTTCATTGAAGACTCAGGTCCGCTGGTTCTCTGAGAGCCCTGGGAAGAGTTGTTGTTGGATACCACCACTGGCCCGGGACTCTGGCCCAGGGAAGGGATGGTGTTAAGGGTATTCACCAGTTTGGCCACTTCATTGCTATTTTCACCTGTAACCCCAGGTCGCTTCACAGTGACAAAGCTGGTAATGCTCACTGCAGGTGGAGAGGGGAAGGAGGGAGCTATGTTGGCCATGTGATAATCATCTGTTCTCCACCCACCTCCCCGTCCCAGCTCTGCCATTTCCTCTTCCCAAACCTCACCTAGCTTGGGATTCGAGGTCTGGTTGGCTTGGCCTGGCGGCTGAACAGCGAGTTGCCCCAGTGAGGTTGGCTGTGTGGTTGTGGGAGTGGTGGAAGTGCTGGGAGTGGACTTGGTCTGCTGGGCCTGGGACTGGGGGACAGTGCTGCGAATGGTGAGCGTGGCTGGGATGACGGTGGTGAAGGTGTTGGTGGTGGGCCGCACAGGCATTGTGGAGCCGGGCCTCACTGGGGTCATCTGGGAGAACACTTGTGGGACTCCAACTGTCGGCTTAACAAACTGGGTACCTGGGGCTTCAAAAGAGAGACAAAGAAAAGTACTGAATCTTGGTCAATCAGCTCACTTATAATACACTGCCCCTATCTTTACTGGAAATACTGAAATAGAAAACGATCATTTCTCCAAACTGACTGGTGACCATCAACGGTTACCAAGAATAGTATAGATTCTAATATCTAAGAAGGCAATATGCATGCAAACTGATAAACAGAAATTGGTCTAGGAAATCAGCCCTAAAAAGATTAATCTGAAGAAAAAGGATTCCTATCAACTCCTCCCCACTTTACCACTGGCCTTGGTGTTGGAAGAGAGAGAATGGGAATAGAGTGAGAGGCAGAATGGGTATTATAGGCCCCAGGGGCAGACTTGGACCTGAAAATAAAAACCTTTCATTCTCAGAATACTAAAGGAGCCTTCCTTTCTCTTATATAAAACTCAAATAGAGGACCAACTATGCCAATCTACCAGGATGTCCCAAAGATGAGAGTCTCCTGGCTCCGCCACAGACAATTACTGACATATGTTTAAGAAATATCAGAGAGTTGATAAACTCAACAGACTGAAGGCCAAAAACACTCTGTGGGCTCCGAGAACAACAACAAAAAGTTAGGCTACAGAGATACCCTTAAAACAACTCAAATAAGATATTCTTTTTTGGCCTTTATTACAGCAAAGTTAGATACTGAGTAAAGAACTAATCATTGGCAATATTCATCCTCAAAGGTTATGTAATTTGTTTAATTTATATCCAAAAAAAATCTATACTATAAAATTAAAGCAAAATAGTTTATAATCCCACCATGTGTGTGAACAGAATTATAAAAAATATGGAATTGGGAGTTTGCGTTAGTAATAATCTTCCAGAACAAATTTCATAGCTGACTAAAACATAAGAAACATAAAAATGACTGTATAAACCCTCTTTCACTACTTCATAATGGGTGGTAAAAAGTTAATAAGAAAAATATATAAAATCACCACCCTGGCCAAAGGTTAGAAATAGTTTTTAAAAAATGGTCTTAAATCAAAATGGTTTTATTTTTACATTTTCCTTAAATACACTTTTAAATGACTTACAGTGTTTTGAGACAATAAAAACAAATCTTGAGGATGCAAGCTTATTCCACATGGACAAACATGTTTCCTTACCTGGGACTAGTGTAATTGGTCTAACCGTTTGGCCTTGCTGTACGTTCAGCACAATCCCAACCTGATTCATTGCATTTTGTACAGGCCGAACATTTCTTACAGGAAATCCCTGTATTAAAAAGCAAAATGATCTTTAACACGGAGACCAGCTAACACTGGCAGAGATTGCAGTAAGGCCTACATCCAAAAAAATTCCCACACTCCTACCTAACAGTTCTCTCTCTCTAGAGTTCAAGTTTTTAAATGACTACGATGGAGAAACTTAGGAATATTGGCAAACTTTTGAGTGACAAAATATCAAAACTGAAGAATAAGCTTTGGTACACATGAGCAAAATGAAAACCTACTTCCTGCCTTAAGAAAATCTCAGCTTAAAAAAATTCAACCAAAGATTGGCTCCTAAACTGCTAAAGGCATAGAGGGGGGTGGGTGGGTGGGGGAGAGATACTAAGAGTATTCACTAAAGTGATTCAACAAACAATTGTACGAAATTGTTCCCAAAGTCCATTTCAAAGGCCATTAATCCCTAGCAAATTTCTAAGAAAAGAGTTTGTAACTCAGGAAGTCAAAGTCAAAGAGGAGAATTTGTCTTTACATCCCATATTCAGCATTAGGCTTTCAACTTTGACCACATTACATAACAAATAAGTCGTCTTCTTCTCTTCCAAAGATGTGCCCGCACTTCACCAACTGCACATATAAGATTTCCAAAAATCAACTTATCCCATTTTAAGAGCAGCCCAAGCAAAAAAGGCCAAGAAGCCTTGAGGGCCATGTGTTAAGGTTTCTGAATCCAATATTTCCCACTAATTTCTGCCCAGACCTCAAATCACTTAATAGCCCTCTAAGGAGTATGAAGTGAAATTAACCAGCTGTAAGCTTGTTAGGCTTTTTACAAAAGTCAGCATTATATTACAAAACAGCAAATGAGAAAACCCGGTTAAAAAATAGGACTTCGGGCCATTTCTAATGATGCTAAGGGCCTAAGGTGGAGCCTCCAAAAGTTCACATGGTCTTTCCCTCCTCTCTACCAGTCCCAGAATTCAGAGTCCCTACTCACCTGAGTAGTGATGAAAATTGGTTGTGAGGCCACAGGAGAACTAGTCACATGATTGGCATTCTGCATGACCTGGACAGGCCTCAGTACTGGTTGACTGACCATTGTGCCCAGACCTGGGGCTGGATTCTGGGTTAGGATGAGCGGCTGTCCACCTTGTTGGACCAAAGAATTGCCAGCTAAAGTGTAAAAGGGAGGGAGAAATATGAATGTAATAGAAAACAAACCCACATCTTATATATTGTGATTTAAATCAGAAATGGTATCCTAGGTATCAAAATATCCAAGATTGTCACACTGTTCAGGTTTAATGTCACCAAACTCACCAAAAATTTAAGCTTCACCCCAATCTACAACTACCGTATTTTTCGGACCATAAGACGCACTTTTCCCCCCCCAGAAGTGGGGGGGAAAAGTCCCTGCGTCTTATGGTCCAAATATAGCCTACACATATACTTTAAAAAAAAAGTTTTTTTACTTGCCCGGCTCTGTGTGGTCTCTGTGTGCTTGCCCGGCTCTAAAATGGTTCTAAATGCTGCTGTTTACTTTACAGGGTTGATTACATGTGTTTATGACTGTGATGTTGGGTTTTAATGCAGATAAAATATTTTAGAACACTATTTATTTCAGAATCTTTTTTTCTTCATTTCCCTTCTCTAAAAACTGGTGCGTCTTATGGTCCGAAAAATACGGTAACAGAAAAAACAAGGAGATAGATAGGGAAGTTCACTAACATCTACCTTAGACATCTTAACTAGGGATGTCTCAACACATTAGGACTTCTATATGTCTATACTTCGACTCATTAAGTGACAACACAATCTCCCCCTACCAAATCAGCAAAACAAAGTAACATCTTTCTTTTTCTTACAAATAAAATAACATGTTTTCCTTAAAACAAAAATCAAGAACACCATATTTTAACTAGGCAACACCTATTTTGTCAGAATGTAATTTGCTGCTAACCCACCTTACTTAAAAAAAAATAAATCTTTATTGTTTAAAGTATTACATATATTCCTCCTTTCCCCCATTAGTCCCTTGCAGCCAGAGCCTACTAAATAAGATGAATATTCATCAATAAGCATTAACTCAGCAAGTACAGAGACTTTCAAGGATGGCATCTCACCCGGCTGGATGGCTCAGGGGTTAAGCATCGACTTATGAACCAAGAGTCACGCCTGGTTCAATTCCCCGGTAAGGACACATGCCTGGGTTGCGGACTTAATCCTTATGTGGGGCACGCAGGAGGCAGCCAAACAATGATTCTGTCTCATCATTGATTGTGCATGTGCTCTCTCTCTCTCTCTTCCTCCCTCCCTTCTTCTCTGAAATCAATAAAAAAGTATTTTTTTTTTTAAATGGCATCTCTTCCTAGGGAGTCAAATATCAGAAATGCAAAAGAATGCTGGGACCGGTTTGGCTCAATGGATAGAGCATCGCCTGCGGACTGAAGGGTCCCGGGTTCGATTCCAGTCAAGGGTATGTACCTTGGTTGCGGGCACATCCCCAGTGGGGGGTGTGCAAGAGGCAGCTGGTCGATGTTTCTCTCTTATCGACGTTTTTAACTCTCTGTCCCTCTCAATTCCTCTGTGTAAAATCAATAAAAAAATGTATATATATTTTTTTAAAAAGAAAAAAAAAGAAAAAAGAAAAAAAAGAAATGCAAAAGGCTTTTTGAACAACCATGGTATTCAGTATGGAAACATAGAGACTGACAGGCTGCCTTCTTTCGCTTTATGTCAAGAAGGCGGATACACAAAAGGCCTGGTAAAAAACTAAACAATATTAAGTAAAAATGTTAGCTTAATAAGGCAATGATTCATTCATGAATCAATATTAATAAGCACATACTAATAAACTGGGCTAACTGTTATTGAATTATTTTATATTCCTTTTATTTGTGAGAAAAGCAATTTTTAAATGTTTTTAAGTCCTCTAGATACACTTGGCCAAAATAATTCTCATTACTATATTTTCTAATTCATAAATATTCTAATACCACACAGAAAATTTGGAAAAGCCAATATACCTAAGTCAAAGATAAAATCAAAATATTGCCTCAACCTTTTTACCTCAAATCACCAGAATAAGATGGACTCCTCTGAACTGAATATTCACTGCAGTTAGCTACAAAGCGAAACCATCAGAGTGGGTAGACAGGGGGCTATTCATCGGCCAGCAGTGGTTTGTGCCAGTCTCCGAGAAACTGAGAGCCCAGCGGTTGACTAGACCCTGACAGTTACCAGGCCAGCAGAGTAGTGATTATAGAAGTTGACAGGTAAAAAATTCCAACAAGTTATATCTAGGATAACTATACTGGCAACTTACTGACTGTACATATTTTAAATTTAAATGTTTGATTATGGGAAAGTTAAAACATATATAAAAATGGAGCACTATAATGAATACCATGTACCATCACTGAGTTTCAATGATTAGCCAATCATGTTTCACCTATACCTTTCACCCACTTACCGGCGCCCATATCATTCTGAAACAAGTTCTGGATCATATCTTTTCACTTATAAATATTCAATACTAGTGGCCAGGTGCACGGATCCGTGCACATAGGAAGGAAATTATTAGAATAAATATTTTAATATTGCTATTCACCCTTTCTCTATAATAGAAGTGTCAGAATCGAAAGAAAATTAGTGCTTTTCCGTCGGTCACAGACGGAGGAGTCGGCGCGAGCTACCATGAGCCACGCGGTTACTCTTGGTGGCCAGGGTGCTGCGCCCACGGGCGTGTCCCCAGGTTTTCCCAGACGCGACAGAGCCTATGAGTTGAAGATGAATAAAGGTGATGATGAATGTTTTCCAAAAACTGGTAACAGGATGACCAAACCCCCAGGAGCCCTAATGCTTGTAATAAGCATATAGGTAACTGCAAGTGAATGAATGTTCAAGTTCTTAGCTGTGTTGTTTAAAAATTCTTCATTGCCTCCGGTGTGGCATATGACATTTTTGGGAGGAAAAACAAAGAACTGATCAAGAAGACATGAATTGAAGCAAATGAAAAGTAATATTTTATTTAACAGTGATCAATGAAATTATATAGAAAAAAAGAAAATTAATAAAATGTACATGAAAATTATAAACTGAATAAATAAACAATAACAACAGAGACATATGAAAACAACCAAAAGATGATCTAAACCCAACAAAAACATGATATAAAAACAACACGGATAAAAACAAAGACTGATAAGCTGATTGAACTTATTCTAACATCTCCCCATAGACCACAGGAGGCGTAAAATCGCTTTCAGAGTCCTTGTGATGAAGTGTTTAGAACTTGAACATCGCACGCTCTTTGAAGTGGAGAGAGAGCAACATGGAACTCCCATTCCATCGGACACATGTAGGGCCGGGTAGAACTGACATGTGACGCCACACGTGTTACATTCCACCACCACCACCACCACCACCACCGGGTTGGGTAATGGCGTCCTCATTCACTTCGTTTCGCTAGGAAGGCGGTTCCTACCAGGCCTGGCAGCGCTGGCGCACGCCTGTTCGTACATTCTCTGCCGCCGGCGCCGCTTCCTCTCGGCCTCGTAGGTGCGCTGGGCCAGCAGCTGCGCCTCCGACATGCTCTGCCGCCGCCGCCGGCTCCGCTCGGCTTCGCAGACCCGCTGCGCCAGCCGCTCCTCTTCGGACATGTTCTGCCGGCGGATCCGCTTCCTTTCGTTCGCAGTGACCCGGTACGCCACTCGCTCCTCCTCGGACATGTTCTGCCGGCGCCGCCGCATCCTCTCGGCGTCGAGGATGCGCTGCGCCAGCCGCTGCTCCTCGGACATGTTCTGGCGGCGGCGCCGGCTCCTCTCGGCCTCGGAGATGCGCGGCGGCGGCGGCGGCGGCGGCGGCCGGTCTTCAGACTTGTTCTGTCGAGGGGGACGCGGCTTTCTTCCAGCTTCAGAATGTCAACAGAAACAACCACATTTACGATCGGCAGTGACAGATGGAAACGCACGCGTGCGGTTGGCGCCGGCGAGGATTGTGAAAGAGACAGGTTTAAAAAACCTTAGAAATTGAGGGGGCCGTGGAGGAAGCACGGGGCTGCAGGGCGGCAGAGGTATGTTTCCACACAACAGGGAGCTGAAAAGCTGTGACAGGCACATTTCCATAGCATGAGGGAGCTGGGAACAGCAGAAGGTCTGTATTTACTAAATAAAGGGAAGGAGCCTCTCATTCAGAGGAAGGAGGAGGAGGCCTTAAAGGGGAGAGGAAAACACTAAGGGAGAAGGGGAGGAAAACCTCACAGGCCCCACGTGAGGTTTGACACTGAAACTCAAAAGTTTCTGTAGTAAGCGGTCTAAGGAAACAGTGACAATCGGAAGGGATATCAGGCACAGAAACAGGGATGCTCAGTGGGGCCCCTTCCCTCTCCCCATGTGGGAATCTGTACTTGTTCTTCAATCAGTTTCCAGCTTTGCTCTACCATCTTCCGCCCGTGGATTCATTCTTCGACTCCGACGGACAGAGAACCCGGGAACCATGTGTTTCAGTCCGAAAATCCCGCTTCAGCTTTATATGTATCACACATGTGCGAGTCAACTTAGCCGTTTACATCTATACTGGGGCCCCGCGCACAGATGGGTGCACTGGTGGGATGCCTTGGCCGGGCCTGCAGGGATCGGGCTAAAACCAGCTCTCTGACATCCCCCGAGTGGACACCGAAATGTGAGAGGGTGATTCTCGGGTGAGGCACGGCAGACCTGGGCTCCCTCATCTCTGGTTCCGGGTGTGTCACCGGAGAACCACAGCTGCCAAGTCACTGAACCACAGCTGCCAAGTCACTGAACCACAGCTGCCAAGTCACTGCAGCTAGCTGCGTTGAACATCTCCCCCTGGTGGTCAGTGTGCATTACAGCGACCAGTCAGAGGGAAGGACTGACACTTAGCCTTTTATGTATATATATATGTAACTTTAAAAAAGAGTGAATATCCACACCATTATCACTCCAAAAAATATAAGTCTCTGACTATAGTGGATAAATATAATTGAAGTTTGCTTAGAGAAGAACTTAAATGTTCTCACTCATTCCCCTCCAAGAGATAAATATATAAAGTGATGGATGTGTTAATTAACTAGATAGTGGAAATCCTTTCACAAATGTATGTCTAATCACCAGGATGTACATTTAAATATGTTGCAATTATATTTGTCAGTTATACTAAAGTTAAATATGTAATACTTAAGTATCAAATACCAAGTCAGAATACAAACTGATGATTGTAACTTTTTTTTAAAGAGTTTGTTTAAATCAGGTTACAAAAGGGTTCACATAAAGTCTAACTGATGGACATAAGCCTCAGTCTCTTTTAATCCATACATTCCCCATCTATCTCTTTTATGCCTTTCCAATTTATAGTTGAAGAATATTGGCTAAACAAAACCATGTATTTTCTATTTATTATTTTCACTACTAGGGTTAAAGAAAATAAAGTGTTATTTATTTAAGCCCAAAAGTTCTTAAGATAATGACTGAACTCTACATTCCAACTAAATACAGGAAGGAAATGATGGAAATGTTTTGCATTTATGTGAAATCAACCGGTATTTGCAAGTCTCATAAAATCTGCACAAACTCTGCTGCTATATAGAGTGCTGTCCTGGCTGAACAGCTCAGTTGATTAGAGTGTCCTCTTGATACAACAAGGTTGCCAGTGTGATTCCTGGTCAGGGCACATACAAGAAGCAACCGGTGAGCCGGGCCAGCATGGCTCAGTGTTATGCATCGACCTATGAAATAGAAGGTCAATGATTCCCTCTCATCATTGATGTTTCTGTCTCTCTCTGCCTCTTCCTTCCTCTCTCAGAAATCAATAAAAACATATTTTAAAAAATAAAAAAGAGCCGAAACCGGTTTGGCTCAGTGGATAGAGCATCGGCCTGCGGACTGAAAGGTCCAGGGTTCGATTCCGGTCAAGGGCATGTACCTTGGTTGCGGGCACATCCCCGGTATGGGGTGTGCAAGAGGCAGCTGATCGATGATTCTCTCTCAGCGATGTTTCTAACTCTCTATCCCTCTCTCTTCCTCTTCCTCTCTGTGGAAAATCAATTAAAAAAAAATTTCAATAAATAAATAAATAAATAAAAAGAGCCAAAACCGGTTTGGCTCAGTGGATAGAGCGTCAGCCTGCGGACTGAAAGGTCCCAGGTTCGATTCCAGTTAAAGGCATGTACCTTGGTTGCGGGCACATCCCCAGTGGAGGGGTGTGCAGGAGGCAGCTGATCGATGATTCTCTGTCATCGATGTTTCTAACTATCCCTCTCTTCCTCTCTGTAAAAAAATCAAAAAATATTTTTTAAAAAATAAAAAAAAAATAAAAAAGATCTAGAGTGAAGACTAACAAAAAACTCTTTATTTTAATTATAATTTAGTATTTGATCCACATAAAATCTACTGTAATGAAAGCACAATATGCTAATTAGACCAGAGAGCCAGATGACCTTCCGGAAGACCTTCTTGACGAAGCCGGGGCTGGAGGGCCGAGCCCCTTGTATGAATTTGGTGCCCCGGGCCTCTAGTACTACATATATTTAAGTTATAAAGTATAATGTTAAAACAAACACAACCCAGTTTAGGACTAGAGCATTATAAATACTATCAATGTTCTCCTACTCTTCCAAACCCTGGCTTCCCTCCCACACGTATATAAACATTTCTTAAAGTCAAGAGTCAAGTAAATGCTTCTTTATGGAGAGAGAGCAAGGAAAATAAGCAAAACAGTAAATTATAAAGGTCAATCAATGCCCCCTCAAGGGACAGTCTTTTAAAATATAATTACTGGAGAAGGTGGATGTTGATAAGTAGGAGCCAGAATGGTTTTAAAACTGGTCTAAAAGGAGGGTGCAGAGTAGGAAAACAAACATTTTTTTTAGCTTTCTAAAGAACCTGGTACACTATGTGAAACAAAATTAAATTGCTTAAAAGTTATTCTTTGCTATGTTAACAATGTAATAAGTAGACAATATACCAATATAATTAAACTGAAGGCTAATGGGAACTGGGTTGTTAGGAGGGAACATTTTTTATCCACTCTACTGTGATGACTAATCCCTACCCTCATGCTACCATCCTACTGAGTATCTGACAGAAAGGGTACAGAAAAAAGGAAAGACAAATTGGACCCATTAATGTGCACTTATCCATGCATGAACAGTTTTTGGAAGAATACACAGATATGTAACTATGGTTTCCAGTCTATAACCATTTTTTTAAAACCGTGAACTTGGATTATTTTATTTATAATACTAGAGGCTTCTGAAATAAATAAAATCAATTTATATATGTTGTATATTTATAATTTTGTACACAGGCCCTAGGTGGGCTCAGAATGGAGCCCATCCAAGGAGTCAAGGAGACTAGGTTATGAGATGCTTATCAGGGGCCTTGGAACGCTCGGATAAAAGTAAAATTTAGCTAAACTGATTGCTAACAGAACTTGGACAATTATGATGAGAGAAAACTAGAAAAGCAGTAAAATACAGTGGAAAGGCCACCGGCTTTGAAAGCTAGATAAGTCAAATCTAATTTAGTCACTTACCAACTATTTGACCTTAAGCAAATTATTTAGACCAGCAGTTGCCAACCAGTGGTCTGTGAGGTCCAAAAGGTTGGCGACCGCTGATTTAGACTATTTTCTAGGTAATGGTTCCTCATCTTTATTTGAGAATCCCTATATATAAGTTGGGGGGGGGGGGGCAATGGATTTTCCACGTGATAGAAATAAATTTTCAGTACCCAAAGATTGAAAAAATACCTATGGAAATTATAAAGATTCCAGTTGAATAACATTTAAAGGTGGCAATCACATGGGAAAGAGCTACTGATGGGCACTTTTTTTTTTATTGATTTTTTACAGAGAGGAAGGGAGAGGGACAGAGAGCTAGAAACATCAATGAGAGAGAATCATCGATCAGCTGCCTCCTGCACACCCCCCACCAGGGACGTGCCCACAGCCAAGGTACATGCCTGTGATCAGAATTGAACCTGGGACTCCTCAGTCCGCAGGCCAACGCTCTATCCATTGAGCCAAACCGGTATCGGCTAGTGGGCACTTTTTTAAAGCCACAAATTAGGGCAACTTGACACTGTCCACCAAATTTGAAATGCCTGATCTAGCAATCTCACTTTATACTGCAGATATGTTTATATAGTGAGTGATATAATGCCTGAGAATGTTCACCACAGTCATTGTAATCACAAAAAAGTTAGAACTGTAATAAACATTAGGGAAATAAATGATTATATCCAAAAGTAAGGATGCTATATGCACTTCTAATGGAAATATTAACTGACACAACATTTCCAACCCAGGAAAAAGAATTGACCAAAATCCTTAAAATTGTGACAATCTTTGACATTTAGTTCTGTATTCTCAGAACTAACGATGTGAGAATAGAAAGACAGAGATGTTCACAATAGCTCTTTAAAAGAACAATAAATCCTCTTCTAACCTATTGTTAATAAAAGTTAATAAAAGTTAACCGAGCAAAAGAAAATAGTCATCAAAAATATGTCAGATAAATATTTAGTAAAATGAGAAGACATTTATTACATACTGAAGGGAAAAAAAGCAGATAAAGAGTAATATAGAGTCTGTATGTTCCATTTTTGAAAAAAAGTAAGTCACTACATATAGCATATGGAAGTATACAAAAAAATACATACACACACACACACACACACACACACACACACACACACATACAGAAAAAGAGTTACAAATTGTTATATCCAGAAAGTGGGATTATAGTTTTAAAATGTTTCTTTATTTTTTTTCAGCCTACTTTTTCTATAATTCACATACTATTTTTATATAAAGCTATTTTATTTTAAAATAAAATAAAATAATTAAGAACAAAATCCTTGCATATTAGCATAACCAAATGGATACAGACTCTAGGGTGGTGGAGGCTTGTCAGGGGAGTGGGAGTGGCCAGGGAAGGGGGTTTATGGGGGGGAAAAGGAGACATACGTAATACTTTAAACAATAAAAAATACAAAGAATAAAGTCCTTTGCAGCAATGCAATGATCCTATGAAGTTGCTTATTCTAGCTTTTAATCTTGAGCTGTAACTTGCCAATAACTCATCTTCAGGATGTAGAAACAGTTACCAAAAATAAAATAAAAACCAACACTATATAGTCTCTCTAGTTAATAAATATACTGAAAATACTACTCTTTCACCATTTCCTTCTGGTAGACAACAGCCCTATCCTATTTTCCATACTCAGGACCCAAAAACAAAATAAATCTACCAGAGAAAAAGACAAAACCAATCTGCTCTGGGAGGATTCTTAACCAATTAGTGGGACTCTTCTCGTTAAAAAAACAACAACAAACAATCAAACCACAACAACAAAAACTCCACCCACATCTTTTCAACAGTTACACATTTTGAGTTTCTTTTACATCTTCTCTCCTAGAAATGTTTAGCAGCAAGAATCCGCTGCACTCGGACTGGAAACGCCATCGTCAGTTCAGCACTAACTCAGAGGGAACAGCACCACCTACTGAGTCACTTACCCAACAGAAAATCGTGACTAAATTCACCCTCCAACTACTAAGGCCACATCAGTACCTCAAGCTACACAGGTAGAGCTGGCTGTTCCTAAGACTCTTTACATTCTCTCTTCCCTCTAACCCAGGAAGAACTCCCCAATAATCCCACTTACCATTGTTGTTGGCAATTAGCGTGACAAGAGTCTTCTTGGTGCTGTCGCTGTTCTGTGCCCCGCTGCTGCTGACGGTGGTGGGTGTGGAGAGGTGCCCAGCGACAGAAGCATGGGCAGCGATGGGCACTGGAGCTGAGACTGGCTGCTGGCTCGCAGAAACTGTGGGGAAGGCAGGCACAGTCACTCGAAGGCAGGGCAGTTGACACAAAAGGATACTGTTCTAATCTTCCCCTTTCATCTTACTGCAGGTGGCTATGCCCAAAAGCTTTGCTGCTTTATTTGTAAATCCAACTGTTGATCTATTTCTCCTCCTATCTGTCCCTCACTCTATAAATTAGACACAATGCCACCTTTTCTGTATCTCATTTCCTAATTGATAAAGTTAAATCACAAGCTCACTGAACCGGGATTTAAAAATATATATATATATATTTTATTTTTATTTTTTTTACAGAGAAGGGAGAGGGATAGAGAGTTAGAAACATTGATGAGAGAGAAACGTCAATTAGCTGCCTCCTGCACAGCCCGCAATGAGGATGTGCCCACAACCAAGGTACATGCCCTTGACCGGAATCGAACCCGGGACCTTTCAGTCTGAAAGCCGAAGCTCTATCCACTGAGCCAAACCGGTTTTGGCTGAACTGGGATTTTAATGTGCTGCTTATACAGGTCAAGCAAATCTCTAGGACACAAAGCTTTACTAGCACCACAACCAGTATTCATAACCATGCATAGAAAGTCATCCACAAGATGCTAAACTGTGTCCTGTTTCAGCCCAAATCAATGCTATCTTCAGCTCCCAAGGCAAGGAAGATAAAAATAAAGAGAGCAACAGGCACAATTTGGCAGAGGAGGTGTGGGGAGGACTACCACCCACTTTCTGAATTCAAGGCTAAAACTTGACCCTGCAACATCGTTTTTTTGAAAGAGAAGCTAAGAAGCCTAAGTTTGTAAACTGTCCTTGAAGGCAGATACAAAGCGAATTCTACTCAGCTCACAAGTGAAACTAAATTCAAGTAAAAGAAAAAAAAACCAATTCCGTGTGAACCTGTTTTTGGGCTGCATGCATAAATGGGCACTGACATACATCATTAACTTTGCATTCTTGTTTATACACCATTTGGTGAGAGGACTGCTAGATGTTTGGTAAATATTGGTTAACACAACTCTCAATGTTTTTAATGAATTACATACAGTGTGTCTAACTTTAAGTACGAGGAAATGGCAGCACATTCAAATTAGACACTGGGAAATAAAGGAAGCATCTGTGCCACAAGGACGCGTTCCTGGATTATTAAATCCTTCCCTACCTCACACTTGCTTAACAAAAATGTCCTTCAATTAAGACAACTTAATGGGAGATCAAAGCATTTCTGTTACCTGTAGTCGTTTTATCCACTGAATTATAATCTTCAACTACAGAATCCTCAATGACATCGCTGATTTTCTGCCACGGCTCCAGCTCCTCCTCCTCACATTCCATAAACAGGTCGGTGTCCGCCATGCTACAAAAAAACAAAACAAACAAAAAAAGTCGAGTAAGATATTGACCCCAGAAAGGAAAAAGGATGTTTTATACAGAACACTGAATCTGACTGTTGAATCCATTGGTAACATATCCCCTTGTACTACTCTCTACCATGTCCTCTAACCTCCCCTATTTCCAAGGGTCCAAATTATTATACATTAAATACTACTTTCTTTATTACTGGGCCTTTTTGCAACCTCTTAAATTTTGCACCCAAGATGAGAACCTCATTTGTCTCACACTAGTCCCAGCCCTACTACTGTTTAGTACTCCCCCACAGTCAGCTACATGCTTCATTTTAATTTTCTTTTTTTGTAAATATATTTTTATAGATTCCAGGGAGAGAGAGAAACATCAATGAGAGAGAATCATTGGTCCGCTGCCTCCTACACATGCCCTATTGGGGATCGAGCCCACGATCCGGGCAGGTGCCCTGACTAGGATTTGAACTGTGACCTCCTGGTTCATAGGTCGACACTCAACCACTGAGCCACGCGGACCAGGCATCAGCTATGAGCTTCTTTTAAAAACAAAGTCTACTGGTACATCTCTGCAATGCAAACAAAGAGCGATTGCTATTTTTCTGCCCTCCGATATTAGTTGACTAAAGGTCAATTTCTCTGACTGGGAATGGGAGTAGCATTACTGCTCAATGTTCAAACTAAGCCTTCAATACAAAGGTTCTCAAAGCCCTTGGTATCTCAATAGAAATTTCACCACATCCCCAAGCCAAAAACGAAACAAAGCAAAACCACCAGCCTGAGTTAAGTAGTGAGGTCCATACAGTATGACGATAGATGGCATTGTTCTCTTGAAATTTTAAAAAATCTAGGCAATGCCTTAGGGAGTTATCTAGCTACCGCCAAGTGCCCAGGTTTAATGGGTAAAGTGCTTACTAATTTGCTTCTAAGTAGTCTAATATTCTTTTAAATTATGTTTCCCCAAAACCACAAAGGGGAGAAGGAATGAGCAAGAAAAGAAAGATCTAACATACCAATTTAAATTTTATTAGTTTCATATTTAATTTACATATATTAAAGACAATGCTAGCCATAAATTGAATTAAAAAGAAACCAAGGCCATATCAGTCATTCTTTGAGCCAAGACTATACACAGCTGTATTTTCCAGTCTAGTAATTCCACTGAAAAAGGTAACACTCTAAACTTGCCCCCCCCCCAACGATTTTTTTTTTTTTTTAACACATCCTATTGATTTTTTACAGAGAGGAAGGGAGAGAGACAGAGAGCTAGAAAGGTCAATGAGAGAGAAACATCGACCAGCTGCCTCCTGCACACTCCGCACCGGGGATGTGCCTGCAACCAATGTACATGCCCTTGACCGGAATCGAACCCGGGACCCCTCAGTCCGCAGACCGCCGCTCCACCACTGAACCAAACAGGCTTTGGCACCCCCCCCCCCCAACTACTTTTATTTGTTTTGTTAATCCTCACCTCAGGGTATTTTTTTCTATTGATTTTTAGAGACTGTAGGGAGGTGGGGGTGGGGGGAGAGAAAGGGGGGGAGAGAGAGAGAACATAACAGAGACACACTGATTGGTTGCCTTGGGAATGCTTCCCCTGCAACCCAGGTTTGTGCCTTTGACCAGGAATTAAACCTGGCCCCCTTCAGTGCACAGGGCACACTAGCTATGGCCCTAACTACAGTACTTAATTTTATACATCGTTCCTTACTGTATAACTTTCTGGGAGCCACAGGCAACAGATAATTAACCAGAAGAATAATATATATGTGGATAACCTCTATAGATGGTTTTTTAAAAAATATATATTTTATTGATATTTTACAGAGAGGAAGGGAGAGAGACAGGGAGCCAGAAGCGTCGAGAGAGAAACATTGACCAGTTGCCTCTTGCACACCCCCCACCGGGGACGTGCCCGCAACCCAGGTACATGCCCTTGACCAGAATCGAACCCGGAACCTTTCAGTCCGCAGACCGACGCTCTACCACTGAGCCAAACTGGCTTCGGCTATAGATGGTTTTAAAGAATCTTCTTTCATGCCCTAACCCGTTTGGCTCAGTGGCTAGAACCTAAGGGCAGTCAATTAGCATATTCCCTACTTGTTGTCTGTGGGTGCTACCATCTTTGAGGGTGGGACAGACAACTAGCATATTCGGCTGTGGGACCACCTTATCAGCTGTGGGCACCACCATCTTTGGGACAGTGTAAGGGTCAATTAGCATATTCCCTACTTGTTGTCTGTGGGTGCTACCATCTTTGAGGGTGGGACAGACAACTAGCATATTCGGCTGTGGGACCACCTTATCAGCTGTGGGCACCACCATCTTTGGGACAGTGTAAGGGTCAATTAGCATATTCCCTCTTTATTAGATAGGACAGTCTGTCATCTTTTTGCCATTTACTAAGTCTAACTGGTAGCTTTTTTGGTTGGATTTTCTGTTAACCTGTTCTTATTTGTAGAAGCAATTTTCATACAGATTATATGCACATTTGTTAAGATATAGCACAATAATTAACATTAGAAAAAAGAAATTAATCTAGCCAAAACCAGTTTGGCTCAGTTGATAGAGCATCAGCCTACAGACTGAAAGGTCCCAGGTTCGATTCCGGTCAAGGGCATGTACTTTGATTGCAGGCACATCCCTAGTAGGAAGTGTGCGAGAGGCAGCTGATCGATGTTTCTCTCTCATCAATGTTTCTAACTCTCTATCCCTCTCTGTAAAAAAGTCAATAAAATATATTTTAAAAAATGAAATTAATCTAAGTTTGGCAGAGGTAGTGTAAAATGAGATGAACATTGCCATGTCCCATTAACCCAATTCATTATTCCCCATCTTTTTTGTTGTTGTTAATAATCACCCAACGAAATTTATCCATTGATTCTTAGAGTAGAAAGGAGAGGAGAGACAGAGGGAGAGAAACATCAATGTGAGAAAGACACATTGATTGGCTGCCTCCAGCACGTGCCCCGACCAGGGATGGGGATTGAGTCTGCAACCGAGGTACATGCCCTTGACTGGAATCATACCCGCAACCCTTTAGCTCAACACTCTATCCGCTGAGCCACACTGGCTAGGGCCATTCATTATTCGACATCTTGGTAACATATATGGTTTCTGTGTTTTATAGAGGCCCGGTGCACAGATTCATGCACATTGAAAGGAAATTAATTAGAAGAAATTTTAGAGGCCAGGGAGGGACTGCGGAAGGTTGGCTCCCGGGCATGCCTGTCCTGTCTTGCCCAGTCCCAATCGGCCGGACACCAGCAGCAACCTAACCTACCGATTGGAGCGTCTACTCCCTAGGGGTCATTGTGCATCATAGCAACCAGTTGAACAGTTGGACAATTAGCATATTAGGCTTTTATATATTTATAGACAAAAGGTCAGGTGCACAAAACTCGTACATAGGTGGAGTCCCTAGGCCTGGCTGGCGATCAGGGCCAATCAGGTTCCCCACCTCCTCCTTCTCTAGCTGCCTGCGTCTGCCACCACTCAACTCCAGTTCCCCGTCCCAGCCCAGGGACCTGGCGCTGATTGGCAATCAGGGCCTGTGTGCAGCTCCTGTGCTGAGCGTCTTGCCCTCTGGTGGTCAGAGCGAGTCATAGCGACCCGTCTTTCCGTTGTAATGGTCACCTAGGCTTATACATAGAGATTGTACTAGCAAACGTGATTTTTGTGCACTAGGTAAGCTTTACTCAGCACTGCAACTCACATAGGACTGTTAGCAATTCCTGCAGCCTTTCAACACGTTAAGCGCCATGCCAGTCACCGGTGATTGACACCATACTTTCCGTCTGGACCACGGCAGTCTCCAGCCGCCAGCATTTGGGTGAAAATGGATATCATGGGCTAACCAGAAAGAGGACAAAACAGGCTTGGTGCTTAACGTGTTAAATATTTGGCATTCTTCCTCCCATCCATAATGTGGGTTTACCAGGTACAGACCTTTTGAGGGAGGAGTAAGGCATATATGGTATTCTATGTTATATTCAGGTCCTATATAATCAACTCATCAGTAAAAGCTTACATAATTGAAAAGGCAAGGTACAAAGGTCCTATTTATAAATGAAGTTATTTAAAGCAGCAAAACGAATCCTGCAGATATACCTGTTGGTCTACCTCTGAGGTATTTAACGGACGGCAGATGTTTACCTATCTTCATCTCAAATAAGATTAGAAAAACACCTGTTTTCTACCAAAGCTCCCCAGACAGAATTGGTTCTGAAACTTCAAATTCCTTTAATTTGTCTGGTTTTTCCCCCCCTCATAGCTGTAAAGTCAATTCCAGGAACAAAGAATACAGAATCTAAATTTTCAACTCACTGCTAGTACACACTAGCTCATAAATCAATATACAAAGAACATTTGGAACAGGAAAAATGTCTTAATTAACAAAATAATTTAAGACCATCACTACTCTCTTCCTGTAGGGCGAGAAATAAACAAGTTACCTCAATTTGGAGCTTTAAAAAGGACTCACTACCGAAAACCTACAGCGCTGACTCCTTAAGATGGCTATAAAATTAATTATTGTTAAATCTGTAATAAGCTTTTATTTGTTCAATCCTTTGCATGGCCCATTTTATCCCTCAAAGGACCTGTTACATGCAGTCTTCACAATAGATTCTTAAATAGTTTTAATAATCTGTCTACTGTTCCCAAACACAAAATGCTTTCCACTTTTGTGACAACAAATCTCCTATCAATAAGCACCCAAATATTAAGTTATATGTAAGCATATAAGTTCCCTATTATCAAAGGGTTTAATGTTCAGGAGTCCCTCTAGCAATAAAAGTTGTATGTGGTCTAAATTTCATTTTTGGCCCCTCAACTGCATTTAACTCTGTTAAATATTAGCAAAACAGTCTATTTCCCTCCCCGTCTCCTCCCCAGAGTTCCATGTAAAAATGTTTTTGTGAAATCAATAATGTAATATAGGCCGAGACCGGTTTGGCTCAGTGGATAGAGCCTCGGCTTGCGGACTGAAGGGTCCCGGGTTCGATTCCAGTCAAGGGCGTGTACCTTGGTTGCGGGCACATCCCCCGTGAGGGGTGTGCAGGAGGCAGCTGTTCGATGACTCTCTCTCATCGATGTTTGTAACTCTCTGTCCCTCTCTCTTCCTCTCTGTAAAAAATGAATAAAATATATTTAAAAAAAATGTCTTTGTGGCTATGCCTTAATATCACAAACTGAATGCCAAAGGTACAACTATCAAAGTCGTACCATTTTAATGTGACAAAGCACCAACCCGCCCTAGGGTTTGTAATTTAAATCAGAGGTCTCCACCTTCAACAAAAACATATATGGAGAATAAAGAGGCATTGTCTGGAAATGTGTTTTATTTTGCTGTGACATAGCCAGGTGTTATTATGCACTTTACATTCATTATCTCTGTGATTCTCCCAATTTTTTTGTCCTAAGTAACTACATTTTACAGATGAGGTCAAAACGGAAGTTTAGTGAGATTAAGTAACTCACACATGGTTCCAATTAGTAAATATCCCTCTTCCATGCCCCCTAACTGGGTGCAAGCACAAAACTCGGATATATGTCCTGATGGGAAATTGAACCATGACTTCCGTTCATAGGTCAACACTCAACCACTGAGCCACACCAGCTGGGCAAGATGTCGACATTTGAGAATTCTAATTTCACTCTCAAATTTTTATCACTGTTAACAAATGATGTCAACTGTTTCCCTCTAAGTGACAAGCTCACTTCAAGGAAACATCCACCGCCAAAACCGGTTTGGCTCAGTGGACAGAGCGTCAGTCTGCAGGCTGAAGGGTCCCAGGTTCAATTCTGGTCAAGGGCATGTACATTGGTTGTGGGCACATCCCTGGTGGGGGGTGTGCAGGAGGCAGCTGGTCGATGTTTCTCATCGATGTTTCTAGCTTTTTATCCCTCTCCCTTCCTTTCTGTAAAAAAATCAATAAAATATATTTTTTAAAAAGAAAAGAAAGAAAACATCCACCAAACACTCAAGTGTAAAACACGAATCTGTCAGTCATTCTTTCAAGTAAAAATGCTGTTCCATGAAACAAACAATGCTGCTCTACAACTCAATCTCACAAGTACTTTTCCTTACGACACAGATCAGACCTTGTTAGGCAATAAGTACTTTAAGCATACTTCCCATTTGGTCACAGACACTGGAAAATTAAAAAGACTTGAACTCAATGGCTGATATAAATTTTTTAATCTTTATTGTTGAGAGTATTACATAAGTCCCCCTTTTTCTCCCATTGACCCCCTCCAGCCTGCCCCTGCCCCTTGTCCCAGGCCTTCACCACCCCACTGTGTCCACAGGTTATACATAGACTAGAGGCCTGGTGCACCAGCCCTACCTGCACCCTCTCGCAGTCCAGTCCCGGAGCCCAGTGATTGATCGCCCCACAGAAGGAGGTTCTGCCCACCACCACCAGCCAGTGGCCTGGGCCTCCCTCTGTGGGGCGATTGTGGGGCAATGGCGGGGGTCCTCTCAACCAATCGCATCGCACACACCTTGGCTGCGGCAACCTGGCGTTCGGTTGTCCATTCTGTCGTTTTGGATGTCACGGGTCCTGGCTCTTTATATATTAGGATGCATACAACTTCTTTGGTTGATTACTTCCCACCCACCCATCCCCTCCTTCCCTCAGATTCTTCACTCTGTTTCATGCTTCCATGTCTCTGGATCAATTCCCTTCATCAGTTTATTCTGTTAATTAGATTCCACACGAGTGAATCAACCCCAGGCTTCAGATTGCCTTGTCTTTCTCTGACTTATTTCACTTAGCATGATACTCCCTCGGTCTCAACGTCTGAGATTTAACCATTTTTATTGCTTCATCAAAGACATTCTCAAGTAAGGATTGTAGCGTTTCACTCAACTTCTTTGCTTTGTGCTAAAACACCAACAGCAGTTTTACTCACCCTTGCTTTTGGAGCAGGAATGCAAATGTCAGTGAAGAAGATAAACAACATTTTAGTGTTATTTTGGAAATAGTTATAACCTCCTTAAGGGTCTGAGGAGATCCCCATTTATCAGTGGATCATACTTTCTGAACCGCTTTCCTAGATTATACCACTGGTTCAAGGTGGGGAGAAAACACCAACAAAACCCTGTTCATCCCCCGAGTCTTCCTTCTGTTGGTTCATTTAGTCTGAGATACACACCAACACAGGTAAGGAGCAGGAAACCAAGGACACAGATTGCAATTTTGTTTTAAGGTTTTATTTTGAGCACCTTCATTCTGGACCAACCATTCTCAAGGTGGAAGTTACCTTAATCAGTCTCAACTGAGGACAGCAGTGAAACATGTACAGATGACACCTGCCTCGCCATCAGACTTGGGGATGACACCCTACCAAATGGCACTTCCAGCAATTTCCAAGTCACATTTCATGAAACTCCAAGAACTGTACTAAGTGGGTCAAATGTAGAATCCAATGCCCAGCCCCAAGAGCAAGGGGGAGAGGGGTGTCCCAAAACTCAATGTCATTTACCTTCCCTGCTCCTTTGTCATCCGGTTCATTTCTCCAGTTTGGTTTGAGCTACAACCCCATCAGAGCAGGCATGTGGGTTTTGAGCTGCAGTGGAAGGTGTCAACACAAGGACTGTAGAGAGCTGGGCCCTCCAGTCTGCAGCAGGAGGGCTGGGACAGGACTACTGTCCCTCCATCTCCATCTCCATCTCCAAAAGCCAGACTGGGCCCTTTGCAGCTCTCCCTTTTTGAGCTAAGACGGTTCAGGACTCAGTGAGCAGAGGAACGTCTAGGGAGGGGGAGGGAACCCCGCGTCTAACGGGAGCAGCCACCAGGAAAACTCCCAGAAAAAAGGAGAGGGAAGAAAGCAGGTGCATCTAACGAAAACCCACTCTTTTTCAGAGTGGGCGCTGAGGACCCAGAGAAAATAGTCCCTGGGATAAACATGGCGCCCACCGCGGCGTAATCTGTAATCGCCAGAAAATATTTCTCCGCCCCATCCCATTTTATTCTAAGTCACGGCGGCGCCGTCCCCCCAAAGATGTGGGGCCGCGGGAGGGGACTTGACCAACTCCCTGCAGAAGAGCGCAGAGGCTCGGGATGCGCTCCTGGACCAAGAGGGGATTACATAACCCGGGGGGAGGCCGGGCCATCCCCCCCCCTTCGCCTCCCCGCACTCAAAAGGGGCGCCCCGCTCTCCGCTCTTTCCCGGGAGCGCGGGGAGCGGGACAGGCCCAGCACCTCCAACCCGCATCCCGGGGACGTCACCCCGCCCGCCGCCCGCCTCCCCCAGGGCAGCCTCGCCCCCTGCCCCGCGCCCGCCCCTCCTGCCCCTCCCGCCGCCGCCCGCACCCCCGCCCCCTCCCCCGCGGGCCGCTGCCCGCACCCGCGCCGCCCGCCCGCCCACTCCTCCGAGACGCCGCGCGCCGCGCCGTGCGTGGGGACGTCGGGTGCGCGGGGCCGTGGGGCCCGAGTGCGCGCGCGCGCGCCACGGCGGCGGCCGCCGGGGGGCGGGGGCGCCGGCGCCAGCAGGCAGGGGCCTCCCCCGGCCCGGCCGCCGCCGCGCGGCTCCGGCGGGGCGCACGCCCTCCTGTTCGCGCCCGCGCGCCGCGCCCCACGCCCGCTGCCGCCGCGGGCAGTGCCCCGACTCGCCACCCGCGGGGGGCGCGCGCCACCGCCCCGGCCCCCCCCCCCCCGCCTCCAGCCTGCGTACCCGCCCATCCCCCCCTCCTCTCATTGTCTCGCCGCCGAACGCCCCGCCGAACGGAAAGATAACGGAACCCCCGGGGGAAGGGGGTGGGGAGAGGGAGGCTCGCCGCTCACTCACCTCCCGTGGTCGTCGCCGCCGCCGGTAGTCTGACCCGGAGAAGGCGCCGTCGCCTTAAAGGGACCTGCACTCGGCGGCGCCGGGGAGAAGGGGGTGGGTGCAGAGGGGAGGGGACGGGGGCTTTGGCGGGGGTGGGGGGTGGGGGGAGACGGAGGAGAAGGGGGAGCCGTGGAAAGCTCGTCTCCCTGAGGGTGCGAGGAAACCTCCCTCGTGTTCGAGTGATTGGGGATGGATTTTTTTTTTTTTTCTCCCCGAGGGGGGCGGGGGGGCGCCCCGAGGGAGGGGGGTGGGAGGGCCGAGGAATGCGGCTCCGTGTACAGGAGCTGGCGCGGGGGAGAGAGGCGCCGACTCCCCCCTCCGGCCCTCTCGCCCCGCGCGGAGGGATACGGCTCGTCACTTCCGCCCTCCCCCTCTCGCCGCCTCGCCATTGGCTGGGCGTGGGGCGCGTCATGGGCTCAGCCTAACCCCCCGCCTGGGCTTCTTTTTTTTTTTTTTTCCTAATCAAGTTCGTCTGGGCCTGCAAATAAATAAATAAATAAATAAAACAGTTATTTTTTTTTTTAAAAAAATGTGAAATAAAGAATAATGAGCTCCAGAAGCAGGCTTCTAAAGAATATAAGTTCTGGTGGGTGAGGGAAATGGAATTGCCAAAGGAAATGATCCCCCAATTCACTTGCCTGGACTTTGGAGGACAATTTTTGGGGGAAATGTCCCCACTTTGCACTCAAGGCTTCCAAACCTCATCAGGAGGAGGGGAAGCTCCTGTCACAGGCCAGATGGTGAGGCCCAGGGACTCCAACCACTGTCATGGGAACAAAGGCAGCAAAATGACACTCTTTCCTCAAGAGACAGTCAGCCAAATAACCTCATGGCACAGTCTTAAGTGGAGAACTTTTAAAAGCCATTTTACTCTGAATTCTTGTGGATTCTGAGAATCGCCCATGATTGCTTATCAGGGTGCTTCACCTATGAAAATGGCTTTGAAATCACCGTGAAGACACTCAGTCAAGACACTCAATTCTAAGAAGCCATAGACTCCATAACTCTGCTTTTTGCTGCAATCATGGCTGAAATGGTTTTGGCTCAAAAGTTTGGTTAGTCCATTGAAGAGCATCCACTTGTTATTTCCCCCCCAAATAAAAACAAATCTCTTTTCCAGGACGCTAAGAAATTGTATCCTTTATCATCTCCCAGAAGGATGAAATGTTAATATTTTCTTGAGATATTTGAGGATATTTGTTGCCATTTAGCTCTAGAACTGTGGGAGCTTCTGATAGATCCACAGCCTGGGTCACCTCCAGAGGCCATTACTGAAATATTTGGAAAGTCCACAGGCGGTACCGTGTTAACCCGAAAATAAAACATCCTCCGAAAAATAAGACCTACTTACAGGTTTCCTTCTGAGTGAAATATAAGGCATCCCCCTCGAAAATAAGGCCTCCCCTTATTGAGAGATTTGGTCCACTGATTCTGAAAAAAATGGAGTCACAAGAAATTCACCAGGAAATTCAGGAATTGGATTGTTATGATGATGTTTCAGAAGATTATGACATGATTGTCATTGAATAAATTAGTAAATTCTTGATACTGTAGGATTCACAGTTTGTCTGGTTTGTGTTGACAACTACCGTACTACCGTACCGTATACAGGTAATAAATTTCCTTTATTTTCATTTAACAATAAATGTGTACTGTATTATTCTTCATAGAAAAATAAGACATCTCCTGAAAAAGAGATCTAGCACATCTTTGGGAGCAAAAATTAATATAAGACACTGGTTTTTTTTTTTCGGGGAAACAGGGTAGGTGAGGAGACTGGGGAGAAAATAGGTACCCCCCCACCCAACCACCTTCTCCCTTGGCTTCCGTGGCCCCCGTTGCTGCTTCCTCAACAAGGTTGGACTCTCCCAGCCATGGCCTGATGACCAGCTCCCCTCAGTAGCCCATCTCCAGTACAGTGGTCCCTAACCCCCCAGTTACAACCCTCCGAAAGGGGTACTTAGAAGATGAGTGTGGCCACTCAATGGATATATTGTATCTCTAGACCCTGATTAGCTGCCTCCCCATCCCTGACTCCAGAATGTTTGGGGGTGGTGTGTGGAGGATGATGGGAAGCAGATGACTAAGGAAAGGATGGACTTTTGGTAGTGTTTCTTTAAAAAAAAAAAAAAAAAAAAAAAAAACCCACACACATCCTCCCAGCTGGCATGGCTCAGTGGTTGAGCATGGACCTATGAACTAGAAGGTCACGGTCCAATCAATGATTCCCTCTCATCATTTATGTTTTTATCTCCCTCTCTCTTCCTCTCTGAAATCAATAAAAATATGTATTTTTTAAAAACACTTTAAGGCCCTGACTGGTTTGGCTCAGTGGATAGAGTGTCAGCCTAGGGACTGGAGGGTCCCAGGTTTGATTCCAGTCAAGGGCATGTACCTTGGTTGTGGGCACATCCCCAGTAGGGAGTGTGCAGAAGGCAGCTGAATCAATGTTTCTCTCTTATTGATGTTTCTAATTTTCTATCCCTCTTCCTCTGTCTTCCTCTCCAAAAAAGTCAATAAAAATATATTTTTTAAAAATAAATACTTTAAGTTTTACACAAAACAATAAAGTTCCTTTTTTTTTCTTCTTCATCCCAAATGCTAAATCAAGAATTTGGTGCAAGATTGGGGAGATCCAGAATCATATTTATTCTTCCTCTTTATATACACACTCCATTCAAACGGCCAGACTATGAAAATAGGCAGTGGAAGTATGCATTCCAAATTGTGTACTCCTATACCACCACCCATTTTCATCCCACTTCATCCCATTTCATAGCAAAAATGTGATTTCAAGTAGTCATTCTTAGAAGAATTTCATTATTTGAATTGGGAGAATCACTAATCCTTTTTAAAACCCTTCTGAAGTCTTTCCAGACCAGATCGGGAAAAGCCCATGGTGAGTTTATGGAATCAATCAGCAGAAAACAAATTCCACATGAAGTTCTAATCTTATTTTATGCTTTCCTGCAATAATTATTGTAATTTATTTAATGTTATTTGCCTCCAAAGTGTTCTTGTTGAATCATATATTTTGCCATGCTGCAAGTGCCAACTGTGCTCTCTGCCAATGAGGTCTAGACCACATACTGTTGACCAATAATCATTGCCATTCCATATTGAACATGCATCTTGCATCCATTCATTCAAAATATATTTATTGAGTGCTTGCTATAGGCCAAGCACTGCTTTCGATGCTGGGAATACAGCAACAAAGAACACAAAATCCCTAAACTTGTGAAGCATTCGCTGGAGGGAAGAGATGCCTACAGTATACACATACACAAATTGTCCCAACATCTATTGTTAAGTAACAAGTGGCTCCAAAACTTAGTGGCTTAGAACAATAACCATTTTATTATCTCTCAAGGTTCTAGGAGGTGATTAGGCTAAACCAGTGGTCGGCAAACTCAGTCAACAGAGCCAAATATTATAGCAACAGTACAACGATTGAAATTTCTTTTGAGAGCCACATTTTTTAAACTTAAACTTCTTCTAACGCCACTTCAAAATAGACTCGCCCAGGCCGTGGTGTTTTGTGGAAGAGCCACACTCAAGGGGCCAAAGAACTGCATGTGGCTCACGAGCCGCAGTTTGCCGACCACGCATGAGGCTAAAGTAAACAGTTCTCACCTAGAGTCTCATGTGGTGGCTGAGGCTGACATCAAGGCTGAAAGTGGATGAATGTTGGCTTGCACAGCAGCTGGGACTGTTGGCCAGAACTGCTGGCTGTGGACCGACCTCTCAGTGTGGCCTGGGCTGCCTCCTGTCATAATAGCTTAGTCCCAAGATTGCCTGCTCCAAGAAGACCAGGCAGAGGTTGTAGGGCTCTTTGTGACCTAACTCAGAGGTCCCATAGCATCCATCCACCACAATTACAGGCGCACCTCAATTCAGGGTGGGTGGGATGGGGAACATCTCTCAAAGGGAGTAGGAGGAACACCCCACTGTAAGAAAAATACAATGGAAAATCTTGTTGTGGCCATCTTGGAAATAAGACCTGCCACACCTTACAGAAAGAGATATATAATACTATAAGCCCACTGCATGAAATTAGTGCATGGGTAGGGTCCCTAAGCCTGGCTGGCAATCAGGGCCGATCTGTGGGGGTGACCAGCAGGGTGACCAGTGAGTCCCCACTTTGGCCAGCCTGGTGCCATTCACTCACCGGCCCTCCCACCCCTGCTGGCCAGTCACCTCCCTCTGCTGGGGGTGGGAGGGGAAGTCAGGGCCCCTGCTGGCACCTGCCTTGGCTGACCTGGGGCCTGCAAGCTGGGGGCAGCTCCTGCATTGAGTGTCTGTCCCCTGGTGGTCAGTGCATGTCATGCAACTGGTTGTTCTGCCTTTCAGTCAATTTGCATATTAGGCTTTTCTTATATAGGATGTGATATGGTGTGTGGTGCTATGGATGGGGAAAAGAGCAGGATGGGGGAATTGGGGGTGTGGTGCAGAGGTGGGGGTGGTTGGAGGAGGCTTCATCCTTAAGGTGACATTTGAGCACAGACCTGAAGACAGGGAAGCCAAGTTGCAATAATCCAGGTGAGAGGTGATGGGGGCCTGGACCAGGGTGAGAGCTGGAGAGCTGCCACTTCAGCTACCTGAGTTCTTCAGTGTGTTGTTTACTTCTCTTTGACCTATTTTTTGGTAATTTAGTTTGTGTTTTGGGAGATTTGGCTCATGCTTGACAGCAAAATGTGTATGAGTGATAGTGCCGTGCCTGCCCTCAAAGAAATAAAGGAAGCATATCAGGCTGAATGTTAAAATGGGAATTTTGTGGGGTCCCGGGTTCAATTCCGGTCAAAGGCATGTACCTTGGTTGCGGCCACGTCCCCAGTGGAGGTTGTGCAGGAGACAGCTGATGGATGATTCTCTCTCATTGATGTTTCTAACTCTCTATCCCTCTCTCTTGCTCTCTGTGAAAAAATCAATAAAATATATATATATTTTAAAAAGAATATTACTTGTGGCCTGGCTGGCGTGGCTCAGCGGTTGAGCATCAACCTAGAAACCAGGAGGTGCCGGTCAGGGCACATGCCAGGTTGTGAGTTCGATCCCCAGTAAGGGGGCATGCAGGAGGCAGCTGATCCATGATTCTCTCTCATGATTGATGTTTCTCTCTCTCTTTGAAATCAATAAAAATACTTTTGAAAAAAGGAATATTATTTGTGGCCCTAAGCGGTTTGGCTCAGTGGATAGAGTGTTGACCTGCAGACTGAAGGGTCCCGTGTTTGATTACGGTCAAGGGCACATAGCTTGGTTTCAGGCACATCTCCAGTAGGGGATGTGCAAGAGGCAGCTGATTGATGTTTCTCTCTCATCAATGTTTCTAGCTCTTTATGCCTCTGCCTT